AAACATCAATGATGAGAGAGAATCATTGATTGGCCGCCTCTTGCACACCCCATACTGGGGATGGAGCCCGCAACCTGGGCATGTGCCCTGACCAGGAATGGAACCCTGACCTCCTGGTTCATAGGTTGTTGCTCAACCACTGAGCCACGTCGGCTGGGCCGTACTATTTCTTTAAGAAGCTGAAGTCCATCTAGCTCTTGTCATAGTTTTTTTTCTGTAATGCTCTTCCCCTAGATTGTCCCATGACTTCCTTCTGTGTATCATCTTGAGATGTTAACTCAGAGAGGCCTTTCCTGACCACATTTTCTAAAGGAGGCTCCCTCCTCTCAATGTCACGATTCCTCTATCCTGCCTTATTTTCTAAAGCATTTACCACTGTTTGAAATTGTATTTGTTGTGTATGTCTTTTGTTTTCATCTTTCTCACTAAAATTTACAAGAGTTGGAGGTGTGTTTAGTTCATCAATGTATCTTCAGTGCCTAGGAGAGTGCTGGGCATAGTTAGATGCTCAATAAAAATTTGTTGAGTACATAAATGAATGAATGAGTGCTAACACCATGACATATATGAGAAGAAAAGTGTCCTCTTTTCCAGTGTCCATAGGTGGGTTAACCATAGCAAAGTTCTCATTCCAGGCTGGCTTTTCTCAATTATGCAGAGGATTTCAGGGCAATGTTCCTCAAAAGCATGTCATATTAACTATGGAAATGCAAATCCATTTGGTATTAGGTTCTCAGAGCTGCCAAAACTGGGTGGCTTAAGACAACAGAAACATATTCTCTCTGGAATCTAGAAATCTGAAATCAAGGTGTCAGCAGGACCCTGACTGGAGACTCCGGAGTGAATCCTTCCTTGCATCTTCCTGTCTCCGGTGGCGGCTGGCAGTCTTTGCGTCCCTTGCCTTCCAGTTGCAACACTACAATCTCTGCCTCTGTCATCACCTGGCATTCTCTTTTTCAGTCTATCTCTTTTATAAGGACATCAGTCTTATTACATTAGGGCCTTCCCTAATGATTTCACCTTGATCACATCTCCAAGGACCTTATTTCAAAAAAAAGTCACACTCATAGGTACTTCCACATATCTTTTCGGGGGACACAGTTCAACCCATAACACATGTTAATATCGGTGGAGGCAAATTATACAAATGCCTTCTAATGTTGAAGACCATATTTAATTGGCTCTGATATACTTAAAAAAGACATTTTAAAATCTCTAAAATCAGAATGCATCCTACATGGTAGGTTGGATTTCCTACTGCTTTGAGCGATGCTTCCTGGAGCTTTCTGCTCAGACCACGGAGGTCTGTGTTACCTGGAACTCCACCTGCCTGTCTCCTTCCCCTTCCTTGTGTTACTGAGCTGCTGCTACATTTAATGAAAGAACAAAAATAAAATAACCTTTTTTAGCAACTTGCTCTAGAGAAGCCACTTGTGCACTCATAGTGCAGTTAGCATGAGATGTTTTGTTTTTGGATGACTCACCCAGCCAGGTGACTGCGCTGGAAGATCAGGCACTGCCTGAGTCACCCTGTGTCCCCATGGACCTAATTAGCGATGAGCCAAAAGTCAGTGGCAGGGCTGGGGACCCAGGCCAGAACTCTCTGGCAGACAGTAAGAGAGATAGCCCTAGTGTTTACAGTACGAATCATCCTCCCTTCCCACTAACACGTCTCCCTCTGATAGCCCTCTCCTGAAATCCCCTGGCCCCACGAGGGTGGCCTGTTTCTGCGTTCTGACATCCTGTCTCATTGGACAGCATGTCCTCAAAATAGCTCTCATTGACGCATTATGACTTCCATTGGTTCCAACTCCCTTCCTTGTTTTTCTTTTTTCTCCATTTTCCCCACCCTTTGTCTCTTTTCTGGTTCTGTGAATGGGGCTGAGGTGCCAAACCATAGCTTTCCACTACTTTCCAGGCAAACTTCTTGGCTGCCCTTGTCTATTGTTTCTAACTGGCCTGCTCTGCTTGGCCATCCCTCCTAGCTTGGATTTTTGAACACCCAACATTCCTCACTCCATTTAGAAGCCAGATCTGAGGATTGATCATTGTCTTCTAGCCTGAGGCTTTCTGGCTCCATGCCCTCACTACCCCGGTGTTCAGGGTGTCCTGTAGAACTGTCTTTAGGAGGGGAAAAAGAAAGTAAAACCTTCACCAGCCTGAAACAGCTCAGCTGCAGGATAAAACAACAACAACAAAAACAATAGCGCCCAGCTGCTGTGGTTCAGTGGTTGAGCATCAACCTATGAACCAGGAAGTCATGGTTCAATTCCCAGTCAGGGAGGTGTGTAGAGGCAGCCGATCGATAGGTCTCTCTCATCATTGATGTTTCTATCTCTCTCTTCCTTCCTCTCTGAAATCAATAAAAATATATTTTAAAAAACAATAGCAACTATGGAAGCATTTGTTGAGTGCTTTCTCTGCACCAGCCGTTGTGCTCAGAGTTTGACAGAGATTGGTTCATTGAACCTTTTAATCACCTTGTGAGGACCAGGGCCAGTCCCCCTTGTTTCCTTGCTCTGGCTACACTGTTGGAGAGGAAAGGGGTGGTAGGAGTTGTTTGTTTTCGGCAATGACAGAGTTCTGGTGAAGGACTTCTCCCAGTCACTTCTCCAGCAGGGCTGAGTCTGGGCCCCGGAGGCTGAACGGGAACATAGGCCTTATGAATGACTGGAAACAGAGACCCAAACTCCTTCCACATGTTCAGGAGGGAGGGGTGGCTTCAGGGCAGCAGCTCATTGAATAAGCATGGCCCAGGCACAGAGACTTCTGATGAGTCCATCACTTTTAGCCACTGCATTCCAGGAACTTGCCCTTGATGGCAGGCCTTGGTGGGGGATACTGGGGCGGTTGTTATTGGTTCTCACGAAATCAACCTGTGATTCATTAAAAAGAGATGTAAGGGGAAGTGGGTAGCCATCACTCCCCAGGCATAACTTCCTAAAGAACAAATCCCAGCAGCACTTCATCCTCCGAGGACAGGGACTGCCCATTCACAAGGAGGGGTCTTGCTGTTATTTATTTCACATCTGAGGAGGCTTTCTATTGTGACTGCAAGTCGAGGACTCATAGGGAAATGCTAAGTTGAGAATGAATGGGTAAATGTATACACTGGGAAAATTTTTTCAATAGTAAGTTGGCAGTGTACTCCACGGTCACGTCCTTCTCACTCTTCACGTGGTCTCCCTGGTGAAAATCGATGGCATTTATGCCCAGAATTACCCTTCTGGATGCCAATCCCATTGCAAACTTCACAAGGGGAAGCAGATTCCTAAAATAGTTCAGGCTATGCTCCTCTCAGAACTCTTCCAATAAGAGGGGCTGTGTTCATGTCTGGCTGCAGAAAGAGAAATTGTGATTCAAAATTGGTTAAGGTTCTGAAAGGCAATAAACCCTAACCTTTGGGGATTCCCTTTCCTACCAGACAGAAATCATGTGTGTTGCTGCTGGGTAAGAATCATATATCTCGCTCTCATGGAGAATCATTCCCATTGTTATTGATTTTCTGTAAGTGCACCTCTACTCTTGAAGAGTTGCATTCTAATTGATCGAAGTCAAATAAAGGTACACACCACTAGAAAGTCAGATAATCCCTAAGCATGTGGGTCTACTAGTCAACACCCTGAATTATATCGGAAGGGCACCGAGTATTCCCTTCATCTATTTCCAAATTTTTGATAATTTTTGCTAACACTTCTCTCTCTCTCTCTCTCTCTCTCTCTCTCTCTCTCTCTCTCTCAGCACATTTTCTTGGTATGTTTTTGTCCAGAAGTTGGAAGGGAGGGAGTTTAGTCACACTGTAATAAAATGGACTGAGACATTCAGCTCAATGAGAAGTTTTGGAGACAATGGGAAAACATCCCAGCTGTCAAAATGGTTTCTCTCCAATAGATTTGCTAGTCTCACCGGCTTGGGGCAAAGAGGCCACTTTAGCAAACTGGATAAAGGAACTGTCAGGATAACTGGGTCATGGGGAAGAATGGGTTTTTCTCATTTGCTCCTTATATTGGAGAAAGGCATTCCTGGGGCACTGAAGGGTTCACCCGGCCGAGCTAGGGAAAGCAAGGAGGATGGCGGCTTTCTGTCCAAGTAAAAGCCTAAGGTTTTCTTCCAGGCTGGGCTTCTCAGGGCTATTTTGGGCCCTCTGCTTGTCCCTGCTCCTCCCCCGCCCCCCCCTGCTTTTCCTCTGTCCTTTGACAGTATGAAAACTGTTGACAGTTGAGTACTTCTCCCTTACCTCCGTGAATTCTTGTACACATCCTGTGAGATAGATATGATCATTTCATAGAGGTTATTGAGTTGCCCAAAGTCATGACACAGGTAGTTAGAAGAGCATTCAGAATTCAAGTACAGGCTTTCCAACTCCAAAATTCCATGTTCTTCCAGCTTATATCAGTCAGCCTTTTCTAACATTTCTGCAATTCTCCCTGGAGCAGTCCATGCTTGGATCCAAAGATATATGTATTGGGAAGTTTAATAAGAGTCCAGAAATTTTTTTTTCTGGTAGGCCAATGGGAGCCTTTCATGGCCATCCCAGCCCCCCAATATTTAGGTTGCATGTTAATGTTAGTGCATCAGGGCTTTGGAGCCCCTGTGTAATGACTATGAATATGTCATCAGAATAATTGAAGAAAGGACGCATTGCCGTTGCTCTGGGCCTCAGATTTTTATTTGCACAGTGTAGGTGTCAAACCAGTTGCTAATTCAAGCCTTTCCATCGCTTATGAGCTGACACTTGGGTCCATGGCTCAGCCTTGCTCCATCACCTGCCATCACTGTGGTCTCATCAATGGCGGTCAGTGATGAGTTTCTCCCGACCTTCCTCGTCCTTCTTCTTATCAAACAGCATGTGTTTGGTAAATGTCTGTGGTCCGGTTAGGGTGAGATGGTGTGCATCTGAGAGCTGTAAACCTGGGCTTTTGGGAAAGTTGGGAAGATAGGGCAGGCCCATTACTTTATCAAGTCAGATCAGGGCTAATGCCTTCGTCTCTCTGTTGCAGGACCAAACATCTGTACCACACGAGGCGTGAGCTCCTGCCAGCAATGTCTGGCTGTGAGTCCCATGTGTGCCTGGTGCTCAGATCAGGTAAGGAGCAGACACTTAACCTTACTTATTTCCCCAGACTTAGCTGCTTTTTGCAGGAACAGACCCATGGGAAATCTAATGCAGAGGCTAGGTCAGGCCTTCCCATTGATGGATGCTGAAGTGAGCTGTTATGGGGGGCTGCTGGGAAGGCAATCCAGGGTTCACCACATGGCCCGGGGTCCTGGACAATTTGGTTGGTCCTCCTGGACTTGCTGTAGCCATTGCCACCCTTCACCACACTTGGCTTACTTCTTGTTGGGGTGGAATACTCCACAGAAGTAGAGCCTCAGACCTCAGAGGGAGAGGCAGGAGAGGGTTATAGGTTCACTGGGGATGCAGGTTTACAGACATCCCAGAATTTTAAAAGGCAAATGAAAAAGGACCTTGCCCTTGTGTGGGGGGAATGTTTTGTCAGAAGGTATTTTCTCTTTACTTTTCCTCTCTGATGATGGAGCCCCAGGACTTTACCTTTTATTTTTCTCTCTCTCTTCCTTTTCTCCTTCTTTTCCTCTCCTAGGTGTCAATGAGGGAAGGACCTATTTGATGATGATGGGTGGGTGACAGGAAAGGGTTAGCTGTGTCTAGGCAGAGGGTTTGTTGTGTCTGGGGCCCTAGGGAATGAGTGTGTCTGGGGGAATGGTTGTGTTTGTGGCTGGGACAGGAATTTGGAGCTGGCAAGACCTATTTGGGGCGGGGGGGGGGGGGGGGCGGGGGGGGGGAGGGGTGGTGGAGTGTGGCTGGAGAGTTTCCAGTGATTACAGAATTGGAGGCTGAGTCATTAGCCTGGCCCCCAGCAGGTCATTACCTGAACTCCCCGCATGGCTGTATGTATCTCAGTCATCTGAGGCGCCCTCTGTCACGATAGCATGTTCTTGCCCTCAGCAGTTTTGGGACTGCTCTAACCCAGGCTCTCATTCTCTCTGTCTGCTTCTCTTCCCAATCTACTGAGTTTCCTAAAAAGGCAACTTCCTGACAGGCTGCTGGTGGCGGCGGGGTGGGTGTGTGGGAGTGGGAGGCCGTGTTTATGCCTCTACAAGGGGACTGATTGCCAAAGGCAGAGGCCAGCTCAACACACTGCTTTGGCCTGTGTGCAGTTCAGCACGGGAACTGCTTCCAGAGGCAGCTGCCCAACATCTGGGCCACATTGACTTCATTTAGCAAATGAAACATTCCCTGGGGCTGCGAGTGGGGGTGCAGAGGGGGATGGGTGAGCTGTTCCCCTCCACCCCAAAGGTTCTCCACCCCTCTGGGCTGAGCTGGCTGCTCAAGTGTGATGTGGTCTCCTCCCTTCTCATTTGCCATATCCTCCTTCCCTTAGTCACCATCCTGATAGTATTAAGTTTCTTTTACAAGGAAGTTGGAATTCTGTAGCTGAATCCTGGAAGATTCAGGGGAGAGCTAGATGAGGAGGGTGCCTTATTGGATGGGTGGCCTGAAGCTGGCTGGGGCAGTGGGGTAGCCACAGGAGCAGCTCAGTATCTTCCTCCCTCCTTTTTCTCCCAAAGCAAGAGAAAATGAAGACAACTATGGCCCAGAGGAGTCGGGGGGGGGGGGGGGGGGGAAGAAAACATATTCTTTTTTAAAAAATAAAATATATTTTTATTGATTTCAGAGAGGGAGAGAAAGAGAGATAGAAACATTAATGATGAGAGAGAATCATTGATTGGCTGCCTCCTGTACACCCCACACTGGGGATCGAGCCCGCAACCCGGGCATGTGCCCTGACAGAAAGTCGAACCCTGACCTCCTGGTTCATAGGTTGACACACAACCACTGAGCCATGCTGGCTGGGCAAGAAAACATATTCTTAGAGTGTCTGTCACCTTTCTTGATCTGCATAGGGACAAGCTGTGTAACTGAGATATGCTGAGGCTTGACCCAATGAAGCCCCTAGGATTCATAACCAGATTTCAGAGATGCAAATGAAGATTATTGATGGATGACCCTGGTGAATTTTGTCTCCTGGGAAAGACCAGGGGAGGGCAGGGTTTGAAGGTACAGGGTGAGATAAAAGCATAAGGTAGGACCAGCCAAGGAATGGGGGGTGTAATCAGAGAGGAAATGGGTACACTAGGACCAAAAGCAATTAATGAGGGGAGGAAGAAAGTCCACTAAGATATTCTCTGGGAGAATGCAATATAAACAGGAAAGTAGGGGAGGTCAAAGGTTTAGCGAATGACTAAAACTATCTCTGAGCAAGAGGGAGAAGGGGAGGGGAGGAGAAGGAGAGGAGGATTTGGGAGGAGCCCCTTGTGAGACAAAACACATCAGCCAGGGAGGACTGGGAGGTGGGAATCCCAGGCTGTAACCTGAACATGGCTGTTCTTTTTTCCCTGACGTTTCCCCTGCATAGGCTGTTTAACTGTTGAAAGTGCCTTGGCTGTTGACATAAAAAAAACCAAAAGTGAACCGTGGGGGCCATTTTGTATGTGATTTGTTGATTAGTTGACCCTGGAGAGCCCACTGCTTCTGCCTCCCCTACCTTGGCTGTTGTAGGCAGGATTGGCAGAGTCTGGGAAAACAACTGGTTGGGCTCAGCATTCCCTTGGTCCTCGAGGACAGCAGCTCTGGGTGTGTATAGCAAGCATTGGCCCCACAATAGGAAAACATAGCTAATGTGGATGAGTGCAGAGTTTTGGGCCCATCGCATAGGGTGTGTCCTTGGGGGGTTGGAAACTGACACGGGTTGGGGTGGTGTACTGTCCTTGGGCTGTGAATCCAGCAAAGAGGCCGGCCTCACACAGAGATTCAACTTGTGGTCTTGCCCTCATTGGCTCCGTGTTGGAATCAAAACACTTCCAATCTTGTCTGGTGGTGAGAATGACCTGGGGTGTTGGCTAAGTATAAAGGTTCCCAGGATGGATCCTGTATTGATTACATCAGAATGGGTTGTTATGATAGCAAGTTTGGCAAATACTGCTAATTGAAAGGGCTGATCGTTGGGGCCATGGTGGGTCAGGTGGAGCTAAAGTTGCCAGATAAAATACAGGACACCCAGTTAAATTTTAATTAAAGAAGAAATAATTTTTAGTATAAGAATGTCCCAAGTATTTGCTAAATTTGGCAACCCTGAGGTGGAGGAATTTTTATATAGTCCTGACTGCACATAAGGAGGTGGACCAGCTCACACTCAGCTTGACATCCAAGGATGAAGAAGAAGAATGGGTTTGGGTCTCTAGCAAGTAGAAGAATCCAATAGGAATTACTATGTTCTTCTCTGCATCTCTGGGGAAGGGTTTAGGCCACTATTCAGTTCCTTTTTATTTACTAACATGATTTCATTCTTCTCTGCTGCTTTTCTTTTCTTTCTGGTTTTTGTTTTTTTATGTTTTGTTTTTTAATCTGGAGGATAAATGTTTATCTTGAGAGTTTTGCTTTAACTTTTTATTGCAAAAAAAAAAAGTATAATATTAAAAGTGTTTCTCTCTCTGTGAAACAATAGGTGTGAATACTAATAACCATGAACTAAAATGCTTTCTTTTTCCCCTCCTCCTTTCTGTCCCCTCCAAACTTCTTTCTTTGTACATTCAAGTGATTTCTTATTCTCACTGGATATCAATCTAGAGAACAATGTTAATTTATTTGGGTTGGGTGTTTAGTAGCTCTCTGGGGGGAAAAATAAGTACTAGCACATATTATTCTTTGTCCTCCAAGAACAGAGTACACTAAAATGGTAGTAGTTATAATGCTAATAGTGGAAAAGAGTCACCTTCTATTTGCATTTATTTGTTTATATTTATCATACCTAAAGGATTTCAATATGTTTGACTTATTTTGAGATTTTTGTATTTGGAAAGCATTTCACATTCACAGCCTTATTTTATTTTATTTTATTTTAAATATATTTTATTGATTTTTTACAGAGAGGAAAGGAGAGGGATAGAGAGTTAGAAACATCGATGAGAGAGAAACACCGATCAGCTGCCTCCTGCACGCCCCCTACTGGGGATGTGCCTGCAACCAAGGTACATGCCCTTGACCCGGAATCGAACCTGGGACCCTTCAGTCCACAGGCTGACGCTCTATCCACTGAGCCAAACCGGTTAGGGCCACAGCCTTATTTTAACACCCTGACCAACCCCGTGAGATAGGCAGGGCAATGACAGTTATTCATGCTGTACCACCCCAATTTCCAAGATGGGGTTCATGGAGAATGGGAGTAACAGCATGTGTCACTCTCCCAGGAGAGGGAGGGTTCAGCTCACACAGCACATGGGCCAGAACCTCCCACCTCTTTGCTTCAATCTTCCTGTGGGTCTTGGTTATTTTTGCCCTTTTTGTGTAATAGCCGGTTTCAGTGGGAACTGAAACTTTAATATTCCACCCTTCCTCCTCCTCTCTGAGTAACCTGGAGACATTCTTTCTATCCACTCAGCCTGGACTATTGAGAAAAGGAATGTTGGCCAAGTGTATTGAGGTCACTGCCTTCGTATTCTTCTGGGGCAAGAGGCTCTCAGGGAGAGCGTGGCTGAGGAGGAGGCCTGCTCTGTTCCTGACCTCTGGTGTCAGTGACCACAAAGGGGGTGGGGGGTGGAGACAGTTTTTGTTTCTTAGTGTTTATATTTCTAAGGAAATTCATAACAAACCATAAGGACAGTCAGCAAGGCTTAGCACTTCAAACCTTCCAATATGCACTGTCCCAGTAGAAAACGGGGGTCTGGAAACCAAACTCCAAACTCCTAACATTTCCTCTCTTTGCTGCTGCAGCTTGAAGATGCAGGATGGCCTGCTGCTCTCATTCAGTGTCCTGGTCTCACCCCTCCCTCTCTCCTTCAGCATCTGTCTCAGTCCTGGAAAGACTCAGCTCCTCCGTGTTTCTTGTTCTATGCAGTCATTGCCTTTTTTGGAAGGGTTTCTCCCTGGGGCTTAGTGGGCAGCTGGAGTCGGAGATAAGGCAGGGAGTTTTCTGAGCAACAAAGAGACTGCTTCCTGAGGGAGAAGCGTCGGGAGAGATGGGCAGCGGCAGCAAGAGGGGTTTGGGCACAAAAATGCGAACTGCTCATGAGTCCTGTCCTCTGTCATTCTGTCCTCGGCCAGAGCAGAGTGCAGAGAGGGGATTTTCATTCCTCTCAGAGGCTTGGAGGATCTGTGCTGTCCCTGTTGGAACCTTCTGAGTCAGGAAGGCTGAGTCTTATGCACTGTTTCCCATTGCCGATGTCATTTCTCGACCACATACCTGGGAGAAAGAAGGAAGATGCTGGCTTCTGAAAGCTCTTTCTACTTTTTGCCTGGGCCAGGGTGGTCCTCATGCTGTTTGTCCTAGTCCATTCAGGCTGCTGTAACAAAAATACCATGGGCTGGGTGGCTTAACAACAAACATTAATTTTTACAGTTCTGGAGGCTGAGAAGTCCAAGATCAAGGTACCGTCTGCGTCATAGATGGCTGTCTCCTTGCTGTGTCTTCACATGGCAGAGAGGCCAGAGAGCTCTCGGGCTTGTTTTGAAGGGCACCGACCTCAGTCAAGAGGGCTCCACTTCGTGACCCAGGCCCCACCTCCTAATTCCTTCACCTTGAGGGTTAGGGTTTAACGTATGAATTCTGGGTGGACACAAACCATCAGGGTGTAGCCCTATGGTGTTGTTCATCTCTCCACCCACCTTGGGAAGCCATTCAGCCCATCAGAGGAGGGCTGGGCAGGAGAGGGAGGGAGACTTCTAGCATCATGAGGGGTTTTAGGCTGTGGAGTCCTGACTTTTAAAACATGAATAGCCCCTAGTGGCCCAATCCCTCTCCTGAGCTACCAGTCACCTGAGGGGGCTAAACAGGCAGAATGTGATCTCTCCTTCCCCCACCTCCCACATCCTCATCTTGCATTCTGTTCCCTACCTGGGCATTCTCTGGTGTGGCTCTTCCTGGGCCCATCACTTCCACAGTCCTGCTTTCTCTGCCTGGGTTCTCACTCTATGCAGAATGTAATACCATTTATCACTTTGTGAGGATAATTGCAGTCAGACAATCTAATTAGCATCTCACTTCTGCCACTTCCTAGCTCTGTAACTTTGGGCAAGTCACTTAATGTCTTAGATTTCTTACCTGTAAGATTGGGTTCCTCATTTGTGAAGTCTCCCAGCCTCAGGTTCCTCACTTGTAAAATGAAAATAGTTCCAGCGTTACAGAGCTGTAACCAGGAGGACCGCAGTAACCCATGCAAAGTGCTTAGCACAGTGCCTGCCATGCAGTAGGTGCTCCATAAACGTTCACACCAGTTGTTGTGGGAGATCGGTATGACTTATCCAGCTGACTTCTGGAAGTGGTTGTGTGAGGGGTGGGTGGAGATTGAGGTTTGGTTTGAGGGCTTGAAGGCCTAGATATTGTGAAATAGGTCCAGGGTGGGGTTTTCCAGATTTCCTGCCAGTCCCTCCAGCCTGCCAAGGAGCCCCGATGGACTTGTGCCCACACAGTGTTGGCTAAATTTACTGAATGTCAGAGCAGGAAGGGACTGAAAACACCAAGTCATCTAAGCCCCTTTCGAATAGGTGAGGAAACTGAGGCCAGCAGGAGTGAAATGAGTTATTTGAGGTCACATGCCTAGTTAGTGGCAGACCTAGGATCGAACCTATTTCCTGATTTCCAGTGTTCTTTCCAGTGCAGATGTCCCCCATTCAATACTCAGGTGTAAACACACACAGGGCTCCAGAGGGTGGGATACACACCAGGGTTTTTGGAAGGGTGATCAATTGGCTCTCTGTCCAGGGTGAGGGAGGAAGCTTAAAGTGATAGGATGGACTCTGGCCAGTGATCTGGCACCGTGGGACTTGCCCAAGCTTGTGAAGCTTATTCAACGTTAATTTATCCAGGAACTATTTACAGAGCATCTCATAGTAATAGCTAACCTTCATTAATCGCTTATCCGGTGGCAGGCACCATGCTACGAGTTTTACCTGCATTGTCTTCTTTTGTCCTGCTTAACATCCCTGTGAGGCTGGGGCTGTTACTGTCTCCACGGTATCGCTGAGGAAACAAGGTGTGGAGAGTTTAGGTGACTCATGCTAATAACTAGCTAATAAGAGGCAATGCTGAGATGTAGTCTCAGTCAATCTGCTCCTATGTGCTTAGCTCCCACTCTCTGCTGCCGCCCAGTACCTCTTCCCCCATCACCTCTGTGGTAAGTCCTGGTTTGGGTGCTGGGAGTAGAAAAGGAACAGCCCCTTCCCTCATAAATCTAGTCAGTGTCTTAATGCAGTCAGCTTCCAAACTGCTTTGACCTTGACCTTCAGAAAGAAATTGCATATCATTATTTATTTTACATATTATCCAGTGATGGTGAACCTTTTGAGCTCGGCGTGTCAGCATTTTGAAAAACCCTAACTTAACTCTGGTGCCGTGCCACATATAGAAATTTTTTTGATCTTTGCAACCATAGTAAAACAAAGATCTATATGTTTGATATTTATTTTATATATTTAAATGCCATTTAACAAAGAAAAATCAACCAAAAAAATGAGTTCGCGTGTCACCTCTGACACGCGTGTCATAGGTTCGCCATCACTGTATTATACCCTCCTCCCCAACATACAAATGTTTCACAAAACAATATTTACTTTTGCTATTTATGTACTTTCATACTTTCTATTCTATTCTATTGCATTTTATTTGATAAATAGATGGTTGAGACTCACTTCATTGATTTTTAGGACCCACTGTGGGTTGCATTTCAGATTTTGAAAAGCAGTAGCTTAACAGCCATCATACTGAATTGGCTCTCTTCCTGGCTACCAATCCACGAGACAGTACTCACCCAACCTTTCTGTGGCCTCAGTTCTCTCCTTCTGTATAATGGATCACACGAGTTCATTTATGCTGGTTCAGCCCCAAAATGCTGGATAAACTCTCAGCCATTGGGAGGCAGCAGGGCCTGCAGGAGGCAGAGAACCACCATGGCTCCAATTATAGGGCTGCCCTTTGGGCTCCTGTTTTACAGACCCTGACTCCGGGCTCACCCCGCTGTAACCTGAAGGAGAATCTGCTGAAGGATAACTGTGCCCTGGAGTCCATCGAGTTCCCCCTCAGTGAGGTCCGAATCTTGGAGGCCAGGCCTCTCAGCGACAAGGGCTCTGGAGACAGTTCCCAAATCACTCAAGTCAGTCCCCAGAGGATTGCGCTCCGGCTCCGGCCAGGTAGGGATGGGCTCACTGTGGGGAGACACTGGGCAGATGCACACAGGGCACAAGGTGGAGGTCTGATCAGGAAGCCTTGGGGAAGACACTCGCAATGGTAATGGGGCAGGAAGAGAAGGATGTGGGGAAAGGTGTGAGCAGGAGAATGGAAGATGTTGGGACTTGGCGTCAGAAGATCAGAGTTTGAATCTTGACTCTCCCATATATTAGTTATTTGAACTTGGGCAAGTTACTCAACCCTTCTAACATAGTAGGGACTCAAAAAACATTTGTCCCTACTTTCCCCCAATGCTTATTTTGCCAAGCTTGTGCTTTGTGTTGAGGCTCAAATGAGATATAAGATGAGAAAGCAATTTATAAGCCCCCTTTCCGTGTAAGATTTGGGGCAGGGACATGGGGGCAAAGAGAAGCAGGAGACCTTCAGGGGGAAGAAGAATTAAGCTAAGAAACAGGCTTTTTGAAGCAGTGATTGTGACTTTTCGGATTAAATCAAGACGGTAAGAAAGCACCTTCTATGTGTAAGTCATGTGGGTGCTATGGGTTCAGCCTTTTCTAGAGTTTGAAGTATAGTAACTGCCACAACTTCAATGACTCAGGGTAGTAGACTCTTGGGATCCAGAGGATTAGGCAGATGGGCACTTAGAGAAGGTAGAGAATATTAAAATGGAAAAGGTTAAAAATGGAAGGGTCAAGAGATTGGAAGGGGAAGGGGGAGAGGAGAAGGGACCAGGGTTTTCAAGTTTGGTTTGGTCAAGAAGTTTCTTAATCCTGTGTCCATCCAAATCCATTTGTTAAGTCTTTGAGAGAGAAGAGGAGAAAAACTAACATCCTTCTGTCTTCCAGATGATTCGAAGAGTTTCTCCATCCAAGTCCGGCAGGTGGAAGACTACCCTGTGGACATCTACTACTTGATGGACCTGTCTTACTCCATGAAAGATGATCTGTCGAGCATCCAGAACCTGGGTACCAAGCTGGCCTCCCAGATGCGCAAGCTCACCAGTAACCTGCGGATTGGCTTTGGGGCCTTTGTGGACAAGCCTGCATCACCATACATGTACATCTCTCCACCAGAGGCCCTCAAAAACCCCTGCTATGAGTAAGTCCTTCTGGAGAAGTCAAGGCAGGGCATGGGGGCAAAGAATATAGGGGTAAGAGACCTCAGAGGGAGGAATCCTTCCTTAGAAGGCTTTTAGAAGCATTGATTGTGACTTTTCTAATTAAATCAAAGAGAATTTAAGGAAATACTTTCTATGTATATAAGGCAAGTGGGTGCTATGGGATTCAGGGTGGGACATAGTTCCAGCATTTTCTAGGGTCTGAAGTGTATTAACTTCCACAACTTCTATGACTCAAGGTAGTAGATTCTAGGGTAGCTTTGTTGGCTACCTTCTGGTCAAATCATACCTTCTCTCTACCTTAGTCTTCCTGTCCAGCAAGTGAACCACCCTATTGATCTGAGTGTTGTGGCAAAAGGTCTCAAAAGCTGTTTGAAGACCTAGAAAAAAAAATCTATCAGCTTCTTGCTCTTGGTCACAACTAAACTGGAGACAAGAGAATGCTGGGGGGAGCAGGAATAAGATCAAAAGTAGAGAGAAATTTATGGATAAGTAAATAGAGGAATTATGATTTCAGAAGGATTGATTTCATTGTTATTTTCATCATTGTTCTACTCATCGAGAGTATGAGTCTTCAAGGTTAAAATGCTTATTATGTAATTGGTGGAGATTAGGAAAATCCATAACAATTTTTAATGATGGTTTCTGGGCCTCACAAGTACAGATTTATTTTTGAGTTTTCAAAGTTATATGGTATGCCTTTTTAAGCTTCTGAGTTGTAAGGTTCCCCAGTTAAGATATCAGCCATCAATTAAACAAACAAACCATTGGGCTGGGGACAGAAATGCTCCTGTCTGGCACAGACCCATCAATTTATTGATGGTTCAGGGACATTGTTATTGGTGAAACTTTTGCTTTATTGTTGTGTTAATGTTACTTTAGAGAAATATTAAATATAAGGTGATAGCAACAACAAGAGGCTCTGAGCTAAGTGCTTTGTGTTAACTCATTGAAGCCTTACAATAACTCTTATGAAATATGTGCTCTCATTTCCCATTTTTATAGGTTAAGTATAGAGAAACTTGCCTAGGGTTCCATGACTTATAAGTAGAGGAGCTGAGATTTGAACCAAGGCAATGTAGTTTTGCAGCTCACTCTTTTGCCCTTTAGGCTAGCTGGAGGTAAGGTCAATGTGGTCATTTGAGGGGTTTGGAGTTTAACTGGGTAATCGTCTAGGACCTAGACTCTAGGTAATTGCCAGTTCTCTACAAATATGGATAATCCTGTTATCCATATTTGTTTCCCCTTTTCCCCCCTCCCACTCCCCATGTAGTCTTTTCCATCAGGCTGTGTGCTTAAGTTATCTTCTTCCCTTCCCAGTATGAAGACCACCTGTTTGCCCATGTTTGGCTACAAACATGTGCTGTCACTAACTGACCAGGTGAACCGCTTCAACGAGGAGGTGAAGAAGCAGAGTGTGTCACGGAACCGAGATGGCCCAGAGGGTGGCTTTGATGCCATCATGCAGGCTACAGTCTGCGATGTGAGTTTGGAGGGCATGGGGTGCCAATGTGGTTAGTGCAGATCAAATGGGGAATGAAGTGGTTCTACTGTGCGGATTTCTGTGTGAAATAAGAGATAGGAATTAAGCAGAGCTTCATAGGCCAAAAAAAAAAAAAAATGAGTATAGGCAAAAAATTGCTCCTGATAAGCAACCTCTGCTTATATCTGCTCCCTGGTGAGAGCTGACAATTTTTTGAACCACTTGGTAGCAGATGTTCTCTGGGAGAGCATTTTCTCATCTTCTCTGAAAGTGTATCAGGGTCAAGCTGGGTTAACTTAACCTCAGGTAAGCAGGAAGATGTTAAACAAGGATTTCTTCTAGCCCAGCTCAGCTCTGCAGATGCAGGTGGGTTTCTAAGCGGGCCATGTGATTATCATTGGAATTGAATCCTGTCTCTCAGCTGCTTGAATTAATCAGCCACAAACTGTTTTCCTAAGAAACAGAAACCCCTGAGTTGGGAAATTTCAGCTTGTGTTCCAAGGACTGGGACTGAGGCCCTTCACCAAGAGAACTTGTCCAGACCTTCAGGCAGGAAGGTCCTTTGGATCTTTGTTTTTTGCCAATGAGACATCTAAAGTTGCTTTCTCGCCCTGGCTGGTTTGGCTCAGTGAATAGAGCGTCAGCTTGCGGACCAAAGGGTCCTGGGTTTAAGTTGGTCAAGGGTACATGCCCGTTTTGCAAGCTCGATCCCCAGTGGGGGGCGTGCAGGAGGAAGCAGGCCAATGATTCTCTCTCATCATTGATGTTTCTATCTCTCTCTCCCCCTCTCCTTTCCTCTCTGAAAATCAATAAAAAAATATTTTTAAAGTTGCTTTCCCTCTTTTACCTTTTTTTTTTTTTTTAAATAGGAGAAGATTGGCTGGAGGAATGATGCATCCCACTTGCTGGTCTTTACCACTGATGCCAAGACCCATATAGCACTGGATGGAAGGCTAGCAGGCATTGTCCAGCCCAATGACGGGCAGTGCCACGTTGGCAGTGACAACCATTACTCTGCTTCCACTACCATGGTGAGGTTCTTGATTTTTGTTGTTGTCGTTTTAAATATATTTTTATTGATTTCAGAGAGGAAGGGAGACAGAGTGAGAGATAGAAACATCAATGATGAGAGAGAATCATTGATTGGCTGCCTCCTGCACACCCCCATACTGGGGATCGAGCCTGCAACCTGGACATGTGCCCTGACTGGTAATCGAACTGTGACCTCCTGGTTCATAGGTCGATGCTCAACCACTGAGCCATGCTGGCCAGGTCATGTTGAGGATCTTGACACTACCTATGCTCTCCATTTACCGTGGCCAGCTGCCCTAACCCAGGCAGAGTCTTTGTATGAATATGAAAATGGAAACCCTTCCTCTGGCCAGGGTTCAGGGCTCATTTCAGCCTGCCCCCACCCCCAACTGGACATTCTTATTCAGGGTACAACCTGTACAATCTGTATTCAGGGCCTGGCTGTGATCAGTATTACCACTATCTCCACTGCCTCCAGCACAAGCAATAGCATCATAGCATCCAGAATGGACCCGGAGGACTTTTGCAGGTCCAGCTGTAAAGCAGGCCTTCTCGTCTACTGCATGGATTAGCCCTTCTTGGAATACCATCCTCACTTTTGGTTATCAGAAGTAGACAGAGACAAACTGCAGCGGGAAGGCCGGGCAGGGTAGGGGGGCAGAAAGGGGGGTAAGAGATCAACTGAAGGACTTATATGCATGCATATAAGCATAACCAATGGACATAAGACACTGGGGGGTAGGGGAGGCCAGGGGATTGTCAAGGGGGGGGGGGGAAGGAGACATATGTAATACCCTTTGTAATACTTTAAGCAAAAAAAAAAAAGAAGTAGAGAAAAAATAGACAAACATCATCAAAAGCATGGAGAGCTAGTCCTGTGAGGAAAAGTCTCAGAATCATTTAGCTTGAAAGAATGAAGGGTAAAGGATGATTTAGCTGAGATATGAGAAGCCTTCTTATAAGTTGTTTTCTATGATCATAGAAGGTTAAATAAGAGGAAAGGGATTTAAATGGAAACAAGAGAAATTGATGTGTGCCACAAAGAGAATTTACAGATCCTCAGAGTGCTGATACTCTGGGTATCTTGGGGGAGGTATGAACTCTTTATTTTATCTCTTAAAGACAATATAGCAACTACCTTGTCTACGTGGCTTACAGGTATACCTGTGTTAAGGCAGGAGCCTAAGCTGGATGGTCTCATGAGTTCCCTGGGAGGTCTAGGATCCCAGAGACATGTTCACAATTCACCAGCATCTCCATTGTGACTTGAATTCCTCAGTGTTAGTCATATCTAAGTAGACCACTACCCAGCAATGGGTGAGTCAGTAACCACTGACACTTATTCTAGGTAAGACTCCTTACCAGGGGCTAAGGTAGATAAAGAGACTATATAGAGGTGCTACCCTTATGGAGTTTTTGGTTTAGATGAGGAATGAGTTACCAATAACACCAGATGCATGCTTAGTGTTAAATGATCAGCACAGTCAATAAGGTCTTTATATATTCAAAGGAGGAAAGCTCCTCATGAGCTGGGATGGTCAAGGAAGGCCTCCTGGGGAAGGCAGGACCTGAACTGCATCCCTAGGCAGGAGCAGGGTTACCAAAAAGAAGGCCAGTCCAGGTGGGAGAAAGAGAATGGGCCAGGTCAGTGGTAAGTGGAAGAGGGAGAGCGGGGAGTGGTGATTGGAAAGGAAGGGTGGAAGGACCACATGGTGGAGTATTGCAAGCACCAAGCCAAGGCATTTGTCAGTAGTTGCAAAACAAAAAGAAGCTTCAAAACAAGGTCTAACAATACCTGGCCCATGGAAGCAGTTCCTTGGTATGAATGCACGGAATTCAAGTAGGAAGAAAGAGGTGCTTAGTTTTGACACCACCAGCCTGTAACTCTTCATTTAACCCTGGAATTCACAGCTGGGTTTTTGCTGCTACTTGCCCCATTGCCTCACATTGATCACGGGGTGGAAAGGTTTATGTAAGTACCACCAATGTCTGGGCCATGGCTCAAGTCAGCCAAGTTCTAAGGCTTACAGTCCAGAGATGGAAGTGAATAGACTTCTTAAGTAACTTCCACATCTTCCTTTATATATTGTATTGATTTCAGAGAGGAAGGGAGAGGGAGAGCGAGATAGAACCATCAATGATGAGAGAGAATCATTGATCGGCTGCCTCCTGCAATACCCCCACTGGGGATTGAACCCGCAACCCGGGCATGTGCCCTTGACTGGAATCGAACCTGAGGACCCCACCCCCACCCCAGTCCACAGGACAATGCTCTATCCACTGAGCCAAACCAGCTAGGACTCACATCCTCTCTTTTTATAGGATTATCCCTCTTTGGGGCTGATGACCGAGAAGCTGTCCCAGAAAAACATCAATCTGATCTTTGCGGTGACTGAAGCAGTAGTCAAACTCTACCAGGTAACTATGCCATCAGGGCTTCCTAGAATGGGAGTGGGAGTGGGGCTGTGATGGGAGGACTTATCTTAGGGAACCAGCATTGACCATGGTTCCCAACCAGGAAAGATGCTCCTACAACCTGCTCCCAGGAGCTAATGATTCCTTTCCAGCTTTGACCTAGCAGTATGGGTGTGTCAATGTTTGCTGTGGGGAAGGGAGCAAGTCAGTGGGGTAAGGGGTGTGAGAGGTGTTCTCTAATTTTGCTCAGTGCTGAAAAACTGCTAGATTTATTCCTGGCAGTGACAAGACAGATATCCTCTCTTTCTCCTCAATCTTCATTTCAAGACCCTTCATCTGATTAGGGGAGGGCCTTTGGGGACCACCACCTTTATTCAGTCAGTCTTGGATATTTTCGTCTTCCTTTCTAGAACTACAGTGAGCTCATCCCAGGGACTACAGTGGGGACTCTGTCTGCAGATTCCAGCAATGTCCTCCAGCTCATTGTTGATTCCTACGGGGTAAGTGTCTTACACTGGGAAAGGGCCGGCTAAGAGTGCACCTCACTTGGCATTTACCCAGGAGGACTCAGATTTGTGAGTCATGGCTGCCAGTTCACCTTGCACCCTTCCTCTTGTTCATCGAGGGGCCAGGTGATTGCCAGCACTGAGAGGAATGCAGCCTTCTGAGAAAGAAATGGCTCAGAATGGAAAGCCAGGGAGCTTGGGAAAAATGGGGGAAGAGCTTAGAGGAGGTAGAAGGGAAAGAGAGGATGGGGGTGAGGATGAAAAAGGAGCAGAGTCCTGAAGTTAGAGGAGGAGACTGAGTGAGGGAGAGCTGGGCTCCAACAAAAGAGAAAAAGAGGGAGCTGAGCCACAGGGAAGGTGAGGCTGATAAAAAATTAGGTAGAAATTGCTACTACCCAAGGTGACCAGCATTAGCACTTCCCTTTCGCGCATCCAGGAGGCCTACAGGAGGATGTGGCTGGTTTAGATGTTATCCAGACTCACCTAGACACAAGTGAGGAGAGAGAGAGGGAGCAGAGCCTGGGCCAGAAATATAGCAGGTAACAGGCTCTTAGGGGGACTCTGGCAACTTCCAAGTGAACCTCAGCATCTGGCACTGCAGGGTCAGTCCAGGGCCGCCTGGGAGATTCTGCTTGGGATGGAATTGGCACCTACCCATTTCCTCTCAGTCCATTTCCTTACCTTCTTTTGCTCAGAAAATCCGCTCTAAAGTTGAGCTGGAGGTACGTGACCTTCCCGAGGAGTTGTCTCTATCCTTCAATGCCACTTGTCTCAACAACGAGGTCATCCCAGGCCTGAAGTCTTGTGTTGGACTCAAGATTGGAGACACGGTAAGGAGGTCTGGGCAGGGGCTGACCCTGGCCTGTGCCCTGGAATGTCTGTGGGTACCCCACCCCTTCCTTCTTCCTTGCACCTTCTTCCTGCAGGTCATTATCACCTGCAATGGAGCTAAGGCTTCTGTTGCCTAAACTTTATCTGTTAAGTGGACTTCATTGTCAGGATTTTTTAAAACTTTAATTGAGGTTACCTCTGTTTATTTATACACAGTTGATTGCCAATGAAAATATTTCTTACCTTCAGCCCCTAACCCGTCTCCAACCCTGCCCCACCCCCCAAGGTAAAGCCTTTCTTTCCTCCACAGTGTAAAATGGTAGTCTTCTATGGGTATTTATTGAGCACTGACTTTGTGCCAGACATTGTTCTAGTTGCTGAAGATTCAATAGCAAATGGAACAGGTGAAAATACCCACCCTGATGGAATTTCAGAATGCAAATGTTCATTTTGCCCCTCCGGTCCCTCTGGCTTTCCTTACTTAGTTGTTGGTTCTCCTCTGTTTCTGTCTAAGGGGAGACGGGTTGGTGAAGGCAGGTGGAGGAAAGAGGGGGATATTTATATAATTTGTTTGAAGATTCTAACCTATTTCATTCTCTCATAAATTATAAAATACAAAGGTGGCTATATGAATGACAAACTCAAACAGCACTGAGAGGGGTTTGTCAATGGGCAGAAGTCAGTCCCTTTGGGTGGGGCCCAGAGCTCCCAGGTAGATGGTGGCCTCCCTATTGCTGGGCCAGAAGTGCTGTCCTGTTGGCTTTCATCTTGTCCAGCCGCTTGGCCAGGTGGCTGTTGGTCATGTCCACTTCCTCCATCTTGTCCAGTGCTGTTCGTCACTCTTGTTGTAACTTCCTTTTTTCTGCTTTCAGTTCATCTTTCTCAGCATTCTCAGCAGCAGTTCTAGATCTCAGCACCTGTCCCTCAAGCCGCCTAATACTTTGCCCCAAGGTGGTTATAACCTGTTCTGCTTTTTTTTTTTTTTACCATTTTATTTTTTTTATTGATTAAGGTATGACATATGTGTTCTTATCTCCTCATTGCCCCCCAATCCCCCCACTCATGCCCTCACCCCCCCTAGTGTGTCCATTGGCTAGGCTTATATGCATGCATATAAGTCCTTTGGTTGATCTCTCCCCCTTACCCCCACCCTCCCCTCCCTTCCCTCTGAGGTTTGATGGTCTGAAAGATGCTTCTATGTCTCTGGATCTGTTCTTGTTCTATTCACTAATTTGTCTATTAGCATCTCTGCATTTCGATGAACTGCAAGTCTGAGCCATCGCCCCTGGAGCGCTTCTGCTGCTCCTCCTCTAGCTGCAGTTTCAGTTTTTTAACCTGTGATAGCAGCTCTTCCTCTCTCCAGCAAGTTTTCATAGCCTTACATCTAGAGGACCCGCCCTCTCCTGCGGACTCCAAGGCCGGAGCGGCTTCCCGAGACCCCACAGTGACGGCTCCAAGCACTGGTTCATGATTGGCATCACCATTGGGAGTGCCGTCGGAGGGTATAACTAAGCCATGTTTCTCAATAAGCTCATCTCTTTGTCGGAGGCCTTCTTTAAGTTGATCCATTTTGTGCTGCAGCACCCTACACATACGTTTCTGCCTTTCTAACTCCTTTGAGTTTTCATTTTCTCTATAAAATTTTGCCATCTGTTCCTCTTGTTCTTCAATAACAGCCTTGAGGGTATCTACCTGGTAGATCAAATTGTTCTTCTCATTGTCTGACTGTGCATTAGAAACCATGGCTTTCTTATTTTTTTCTTCCACTTCAGACAGACTCCCGCAATTCACTTAATGAGGTGTCTGGGTCTATTGAGCTGCTGGTGTCCCTGCTTCCTCGTCTGGATGTTTTTCCACTTAGAGGGGTTGTTGCTGAGGCAGGATTTCGAGACGAAGGTCTTGTGTAATGTTCAGCATGCTGTTTGTCAGATTTCTCATCCAACTCGATTTGCTGCCGTTCCAGTTCTCTCACACGCGTGTCTCTTGCTTCTGCCCCAGGCAGCCTGTTTCGCTGCCAGCCTTGCCTCTGCCTCTCCGGCAGTTACTCAGACCTTCATCTCTGCAGAAAATCGGTCTCTCCCAGGTGTCTCTCCCAGGTGTCCTTTTCCTTCCAGAGCCAGGAGTGCCCATCTTGTCTTGATCGTCTTTTAACTCTGAAAAATGATTCTGTCTGTTTTCAGCTCTGTCCCTGGATGCGGCCGGGAGTCCGCCGGGGCGAAGAAGAGCAGGGAGCAAAGGGCGAGGGGCGCGGAGGGTGACCTTGGTCCTAAGTCCCCCGCCAGGCGGGCCGGGCTGGACACGGCAGCTCTAGGTGCCAGTACCTGGTCAGCCAGTCACGCCGGTGTCCCCTGGGTGCCACGCTCAGGCCCCGGGAGGAGCCGAGGCACTATATATCCATATTTATATTATCTATATCTATCTCCACCTATCCATCTGTCTATTTTAGGCACATTGCACATACCTCATGTAAGAAATATTGGCCTGAAATGTGTTTGATTGCACAGTGATGAAATGTTATGTGGAAATTGAACAGTAGATCCTGAGCCTGTGGATGGCCACTGTGAGGCATTGTATGGTACAAAAGACTGCTTTGTCTGTCTTGCTGGGGTGATGTAATCAGCCCAGGTAGCTTCATTGGCCAGAGCAGAGAGTTCACAAGATCATAGGTTCTGTTCTGCTTGAGCTGGTTTATTTCACATGTGGAATATAAAAACACACCCAGCCCTAGCTGATTTGGCTCAGTGGATAGAGCATTGGCCTGCAGACTGAAGGGTCCCAGGTTCGATTCCGCCGAAGGGCACATACCTGGGTTGGGGGCTCAATCCCCAGTGGGGGGGCATGCAAGAGGCAGCCGATTGGTGATTCTCTCTCATCACTGATGTTTCAATCTCTCTCCCTCTTCCTTCCTCTCTGAAATCAATAAAGAAATATTTTTTAAAAAACCAACCTTCTATATCATACCTGTAACACCTGTCTGCACCCAGCCAGATGTGTCACCACTGCACAGCTATTCAGGGCTTTTGTTTTTGCTTTGCAGACTTTGGTGTGGGAAGGCATCTCGTTTGGGTATTCCCTAGCAGAGCAGAGAACAGCTTATTTCCAGGGCTGGAGTGTTAATAGGGTCTACCTGTATCTGAATACAATCCTATTTTCCATCCAGGTGAGCTTCAGCATCGAGGCCAAGGTGCGAGGCTGCCCCCAGGAGAAGGAAAAGTCCTTTACCATCAAGCCTGTCGGCTTCAAAGACAGCCTCACCATCCAGGTCACCTTCGACTGTGACTGTGCCTGCCAGGCCCATGCCGAGCCTTACAGCCGCCGCTGCAACAATGGCAATGGGACCTTTGAGTGTGGGGTGTGCCGCTGCGGGCCTGGCTGGCTGGGGTCCCAGTGTGAGTGCTCAGAGGAGGACTACCGACCCTCCCAGCAGGACGAGTGCAGCCCCCAGGAGGGCCAGCCTGTCTGCAGCCAGCGGGGCGAGTGTCTCTGTGGCCAGTGCGTCTGCCACAGCAGTGACTTTGGCAAGATCACGGGCAAGTACTGCGAGTGTGATGACTTCTCCTGTGTCCGCTACAAGGGAGAGATGTGCTCGGGTGAGTAGAACTGCATGTCCCTCCCATCCTGATACCCACACACACTCACACGTCTGAGCCTGAGGTGGCACAGGAAGGCCTATGGGGCAGAGCTGGGTAGATGGTCTTTTACTCCAGTGGGAGAAAACAGAAATGAGGTTCTCTTTCATTCCTCTCAGCTCCCTATGTCCTTGCTGGTGGGGTACAGGGAAATTTGCTCGTAGGAAGGAGTGGGGAAACTTGAAGGTGAAGATAGTTTTTTTCTTTTCTTTCATCTACCCTCCACCTAAAATATCGTAAGTCATTGGTTCCTCATCGTTTTGAGGATACGGACCAATCCTTTTTCAAGGGGGGAAAAAAAAATCACTAACTGATGGTAATTAAATTTCTAGTATTTATAGATTTGGAAAATACGTGATGTCAGAATATATAGTAAACTAGGTAATAATTGTCTTACATGGATTTATCTTTTCATCACAAAAAGACTTGGAAAATAGTAATGGATACCCAAGGCATTGGAGCACATTTAATGAGCCAAGTACACTTGGCACGATGACTGGAAAACAGAAAGCTCTTATTAAGTGTTGGCACTATTTTGTTGTCACTATGGGTATTATTATTACTTTTTGGATTCTAGATCTGTGCTGATCAAATGGTAGCCACTGGCCTCATGTGGTTATTTAAATCCAAATGAATCAACTCGTTAATTAAAATTAGAAACTCAGTTCCTCTGTTGCTCAGGAGCCACACGTGGCCAGTGGCCACCACGGTGGACAGCACAGATGTATATGGAATAGCACTGCCGCGGAGTGTCCCGGCCTGTCGACTGGGGATTATGATATTGAGTCCTTCTACCTGCAGGATACTGCGTTGTTGTCCTTCTCATTACAACAATTCAGTAAAATCTTGGCCCATTGATCATCTCAAACTAGCTTCTCCTTGTCCCAAAGACCACTCCTGGGGTACTTCCCCAGCCAGAAAAAGTTGAGCTGATGTTGATGTAGTCTTTATCTGCACTGACAATACTCTAGGACAGTGATGGCGAACCTTTTGAGCTCAGCATGTCAGCATTTTGAAAAACCCTAACTTAACTCTGGTGCCGTGTCACATATAGAAATTTTTTGATATTTGAAACCATAGTAAAACAAAGACTTATATTTTTGATATTTATTTTATATATTTAAATGCCATTTAACAAAGAAAAATCAACCAAAAAAATGAGTTCGCGTGTCACCTCTGACACACGTGTCATAGGTTCGCCATCACTGCTCTAGGAGGCAAATAGGCCGTCTGGGTTGTTCCCGGGCACTGGGGAATGGGTCAGGGAAAACGCAGTCGCTCTTTCCATGCAGCTTGCCCTTCTCAGATGATCTCTCTCTCCTCTCCTCTCCTCTCCGTGATGAGCCAGCCCTTCCTTTTTTTTTTTTAATGGGCTGTAACCACTGTGGCTTAATCCCTCTTGTGACAGATTGAAGATGTTTGCAAATTGGTTGGGACTGGTTTATGGGTGTATTGTGTAGCCAATCAAACAGAGATTATAATTGGCTTCTATGGTGACCAAATCCATGACCCAAGTTGGCTTCATTTGCATTGGGGTTCTAACCAGCTGAGCTCATCTACCAGATGTTCACTTTAACATCAGGCTTTAAAAAGACTTGATGACAAAGGTAAATCTATGTCATTCTAAAGCATGTCCAATAATATAAAAATGGCTCCTGTTTATTATCAACATTGTTTCCTTTACTCATGCCAACAAAGTATGAGTATCCTTTTGGAAAAAAGGATATCAGAGCAATTAATTGAGAGATCACACACACACACACACACACACACACACACACTAGCAGTTTGAATTAGAACATGGGGCAGGAGTAAGTTCATTTTAATATTTAATGATATTTACATCATATTCAAAGTACCAAAGGGAATGGGTAAATTTGACCTGGGAGATTCCTTGTGGGGGGAGATTGGGGCTGAAGGGGAGAGGGTTGTCGGAGGAGAGGCCTACAGATAGCCCACAGTGGGCCCCAGGGACAGAGGGAGGTGCACCAGGCTTCCATGGCCTGATTGTTCCTGGCCTAGTGTGGGAGGGATCCCAGCAGAATGTTTCCTTTGGCTGCCAGCCCCACTGAAGCCACGAAACATAGCTGCTGGGGTCCGCAGCCCCGGATCCTGCCTCCCACCAGGGCAAGAACAGCCTGTCCTCTATGTGCTGCAGCCTAATTCATGAGGGAACCACAGCAGCCACTGCAGCCTCTCGGAGGCTTCCCTCCCCCACTTCCTGCCAGAGTTCTGGGTGCCCACTGGTCTCAGGGCTGGACCCTGTGGTGCGTCATCACATTCCCCAGTGACAGATACTCAGGGACACACAATCATTGAGCACCTGCCCTGTGCCAGGCACCCAGTCCATATGGGTGAGCAGGGGTCGTAAATGATTCCTACCCTCTCCGAGCTTATAGCCTAGCTGGCTATTGTCCCTCCCCAGAGCTGTTGGCCCGTAGTCTATGGGGCTCATGAGGCAGGAGGGCTATGACTTGGCCATTTCTCTAGCTCCTGGCCTCCCCCCTCCTCTCCTTCTCAATGGAGGCACACATGGCCTTCGTGGTTGCACCTTGTCAAACACAGGGAGTGCATCTTTGTCCTGATGAGACCCTTCCACCTACCACATCCATGTACAGAGATTGATCGCCTCCCTGCCCTCGGGAGCCAGGTTCTGTGCTGTGTGCTGTAGTGATGTGCAATAGAGCGGCATGATAAGTCAGTTTGCCCTTCATTCACTTACCTGAGCATAAGTCAAAACACAAGGCACAACCTGCCAGATCCGAGAAGAGAAGTCCTCAGGGAGTTCCCCGCACAGAGACTCACTGTGGACACGTGAGGCCTGGGTGGCTTCATGGAGGAGGTGGGATATCAAAGGAAGGGCTGGCTCATCAAGGAGAGGAGCAGAGAGATCTATCATCTCAGAAGGGCTCTGCATGGAAAGCGCGACTGCGTTTTCCCTGACCTGAAATCAGGGCCCCTCCTTGTTGCCTCCTGCCCTACTTTCCTCCTCTTTCTCACACGTTCTCTTCACTTATCCCCCCTTCCTCTGACTTTCCTATGAACCCAGACTCAGCCACCCTGTTGCTGGAGGGGCGCCAGTCCTGTGACATTACTACACTGTGGCTTCCTTTTCAGGGTTGACCCTGCCGGGGCTGGGGGTCAGCCTGCTGGCTCTGGCCTGCCACTTCCCCTCCAACCTCACTCCCTGGCCGGCCTGGCGGACCCTTTCCTCAAAGATCACTTTGTTTAGCTTCACAAAGGAAACACTATGGGACAAGGGTTTCTGAGGAGGCTGAGGTCTCTGAGGGCTGCCAGGCCTCTGTGGTGTCGGCCTTTCGCTGGCCGGGAGCCCTGGCCAAAAGGTGGGTGTAGTGGGTACTGTGGGCCCCACTCTGCTGGCTGGCACACCCTTTCCCCAGACGCTGTGGGGGCTGCTCATAATAGTGCACAGCTGCCCTTTCTCTGGAGAATTATCTTCCGCTGACAGGAGCTGTCTTGCCCTCAGATCTTGGCCAATGACTGACGGATAAGGGGTTACACAAGGCCAGGTCCTTTGCCTCAAAGGTGGGCTAGGTCTGTGGTGCCATTCACCTCCGGAGCCCACTATGGGATCAGGCCAAAGGGAGTCTCCTACTGAAATCGCACTCCTGCCAGCCTTTGACGTCTGCCCTGCATCCCTCCCTCCCTTCTAAGTCACTTGAACAAGAATCTCCCCATAAGCTGTACTTCTAGGGAACCCAACCTCTTTCTTCTTTCTCCACTTTCTGCCAGCCCAGTGTCTCTGCTCTGCATATATCCTGGGTAGTTGTGGCAGATGAGGTTGTGTTTCCCATCCTTCCTGGGAAATAGACATTTCTTTCCAGGGCAGTGAGGGTGTGTGTCTGAGTCTTGAATGCCAGTGTGGTTATGAGCGGATGGTGCTGGGGTCACTGGCAGAGGGACCCGTAGTGGCCGAGAGACATTAGTAAGACCCACTGGGGAGAAAGAGGAACCAGCTTGTTGCAGTTTGAGCCTGGCCATGGACACCCCCTCCTCCAGCAGCATGCAGCCCGTCTGCTCTCAGACCAATTCAGGTTACTTCCCCCTTGCTCCCTGCCTTTCCTCTGATTAACAATCAGATTTTTATTATTCATCCACTTCTTCCTGATTCAGAGTCCTGGGGCATGAGTCACCTTTATGCAGGTTTAGGAGCCATGTTTTAAAGCCTTGTTAAATAAATATTAGGGGAATATAGCATTGAGAGATATTGTCAGCATTTAAACAGTATAAGTTCCACCCTAGTCTCTCTCCCATCCCTACACACATGCAGTAAAGGGAATAGGTCTTTTCAACTAGGGCCGATGGCTCTGTACAATAATGCAATAATACAACACAGAGGACACGTTTCCAGGAATTTAACTAGGATATAACCTTCATTAGAGAAGGGACCCTGCCTGTCTTGTCCACTGTGGAATCTCCAGTGCCCAGCACGTGGTGTGAACTCAGTAAATATTTGTTGAATGAGTGGATAAATAAACATTAATTGCATGCCTATCAGATGTTATGCTAATCATCATTGATGAAAACATTAATATTTGGTGCCAGTTGGGTACTGGAATTATCAGGGGGAACACTTTGTAAAGTACATCTGAAAATAATATTGAATGTAAGCTGTAATTGAAAAAAATTAAAAATTAATGTGATATGTGCTCTCCCGTCAAGGAACTCACAGTCTAGAAAGAGAAACAGATAGACAAGCAAAAGGGTGAACATGAAGGTTAAAATAGAGGTACATACATATAAGTGCTGGCAGAACACATGATTGACTATTGATTTGGCCTGTGAAGGTCAGAAAAAGTCCCAGAGAGGAAGGAACATCTGAGTTGAGCCATAAGGGTGAGTGGGAGTTTGGCAGTGGTCACAGGAAGAAGAGGAGTCTAGACAGAAGGAACAGCATGAATAGAAGCATGGGGATATGAAGATAGTGTAGAAGATGGTGAGCAGTTCCATGTGGTGACTAGTGTGTGGTAATGTGAGGCGGGTGCTGAGAGATAAAGCTGGGAAGCAAATTGAGCCACTGATGTGGGGTTGGGGCCCTCACCAACTGCTCTGCCCCCGTGGGCTGTGTGTCTTCAGGCCATGGCCAATGCAGCTGTGGGGACTGCCTGTGTGACTCCGACTGGACCGGCTACTACTGTAACTGTACCACACGCACCGACACCTGCATGTCCAGTAACGGGCTGCTGTGCAGCGGCCGGGGCAAGTGCGAGTGCGGCAGCTGCGTCTGCATCCAGCCGGGCTCCTACGGGACCACCTGTGAGAAGTGTCCCACCTGCCCTGATGCCTGCACCTTTAAGAAGTGAGTGAGTGGGGAAGTGAGTTGGAGAGAGTTGGGTGTGAGATTGGGAAGGTGGGTGTGTGTGGAGAGGGTCCCCCAGATTAGAATCCCCAACTCTCCAGGTTTGGTCTCTTCCTCACCAAAGCTGTATGGGGAGGAGTCTGTTCCAGCCACATGGCTAGCTTTCCTCATTCACTGAAAACTTTGGGGAAAGGTGAAGGTGGAGTCAACCATGAAGGAGTCAGTGTAGTACCAGCTGGACTCCAGTTGGAGAAACCCCTCTTCTAGGGTAGCATCCTGAATCCCTGAGTTGGAAAGCTAAACCGGATTACTTCTGGGGAACGTTCAAGTGCTGATGTTCTGATTCTGTGGGAGATGTGGGGCTGGAGCTACACTAAGGCAACAGATGTCCACCAGTACAATTGTCTCTCATTTGGGGATCAGAGGAAGCTTCTGGCAGCCCAAGTTCATGGCACTACCATTTCTCCTTCCACTTAAGAGTGGTAAGAGAAATAGCATCTGTATAGGGCCGTGTGCTTAGAAGGGCCCCCACCGGCTTTAATACACTGCTGTCACTGACTTGAAATTCTTAGTAATTTTTGAGCAAGGGGCCTGACATTTTCATTTTGCACTGGGTCCCCAAACTACGTTACTGGTTCTGACTTTAAGGCTCCCAGAAGTGCCGTAGGGTTCACCCTCCTGTCATGGCCTCGGATGGAAAAACTTAATGACGTTGCCTGGAGGCCTCTGCCTGCCAGGCCTTGAACTCCAGATTTGACTCTCTGGGCCCCAGGAGGGTCTTACAGATGGTTCTGTTTGTGTGTTTGTTCTCTGAGCTGGAGCAGCTTCCTGGGTGTATGGAGTCAGAGCCAGACTAAAACACCCTCAGGGTTGCTCCTAGCTTGCTTTAATCCCTGTGCCCTCTTTCCTCCTCCCCTCTTTCCTTAGGGAGTGTGTCGAGTGTAAGAAGTTCGACCGCGGAACCCTATACATGGAAAACACCTGCAACCGTTACTGTCGTGATGAGGTTGAGTCTGTGAAGGAGCTTAGTAAGTTCAGCCTGTCGGTATTTCTGATTTAATCTCAGAAACTATCCAACTCTCATCTGTAACATGGGGGAGTAATTTTGACCTCAAAGGCATGCAGACCTGATGCACAGTAGGCACTGAATGAAAGCTGACTAGAGAGTCCTTCTCACTTCTACTAATTTGTTCAGCCGATCCTCCCCTTTCTGATTCCTGGAACCCACAAACTCAGCAAGATCCTGCAAATAACTTTCAAAGCGTGTATAAATCAGGCAAGTGAACTATATCTCCTCAAGGAAAGAAAGAGAAAGCACCCCCATTTTACAGATGAAGAAACTGAAGCGCAGAGTGGGAGAGTAGTTACCCACGACAGTCCTGGCTTAGTAGGCTAGTAAGCATTTACTAAGAATGCCCAGGCATTCAGCTTTGTTGGAGGAGAACCTTCACCCTTACAGATATGTAGCCAAAATCAAATCTGAAGCCTTTGTGGCTCTCTAGAGCCCCTTGTGGAATAGACAAACAAAGTGGGGAGCAACTCTTGTTTGCAGCTATTCTGGCTTGTACTTCATTTTGACCTGAAGAAAATGATCTTTGCTGCTGTCAGCACATCTGATATTGTTTTGGGGCCAGGGAGATGGTGATCTCTCTGGAGATAATAATCTCCCACGAAGGCAGGAAACATGTTTTCAGTGAGAGCTACAGAAAGACACAGCCAATCAGTCAGCTTCTAGGTGGGGGTGTTATGGAACAGGGTCAGATGTCTGGATCCTTTGACAAACATCCGAAGTGGGGCTGGAGTTAGAGTGATTTGGGGATTGAGTTTGAAGAAATAATTTTTTTTTTTCTGGAGGACACTGTGCTTGCTATGATCAGTTTAGGGAGGAGGGGCTGCTCAGATGTGAGATATTTTTGTTATCTAGACTAGATGGGTATTACAGGTTAGTTGTTAAGTATTTCTATACCCTACCTGCCATGATAATCATAAAAATATTTATTTGTATGAAATTTTATAACTTATAAAAGTTATAAAAATATCTCTTCATGCACATAATCATCGTCTTCTCCCAACAACCTAGTAAAGTAGAACTATAGGACTACTGTTATCTTCATTTTGAGGATGAGGAAATTGAATCTCAGGAAAGTTAAGTAACTTGCCCAAGCAAATTAGTGGTGAGTTAAGATTAGAAATAAACCCTGAAATTCTTACTCTTTACATAGTACTAGAATGCCACTGGTTCACTAAATTAAAGACTTAATGAGTTAAAGTTTGTAGACTGTGCTTTGAGACTCATGCTAGTCACTTACTTGCTGAGTGACCTTGACACATTTGCTTAATCTCATTGTGTGTCAGTTTTACCCATGAATTTCATCAGTGTAGGGCAGCAGTTCTCAACCTGTGGGTCGCAACCCCTTTGGCGGTCGAACGACCCTTTCACAGGGGTCGCCTAAGACCATCCTGTATATCAGATATTTACATTACGATTCATAACAGTAGCAACATTACAGTTATGAAGTAGCAACGAAAATAATTTTATGGTTGGATCACAACATGAGGAACTGTATTTAAAGGGCCAGAAGGTTGAGAACCACTGGTGTAGGGCATGGTGCAGCTGGAAGAGGGTAACCCATAGTTTCACTGTCAGAATCACAGGCTTTAGAATGAGAAGGGATGAAACCTACAAAACATGATGGGAATCAGAAGAGAGGATGGCTCTGGAGAGACACACTGGGTCAGAAGCAGAAATGGAGGAACTCTGAGGGCTAAATGAACAAACTATTGAGAATCATTGAGCAAGCAGAGAAATGAAAGAGAGGGAATGCAACACCCGCTCTTGACTTTATGCCATTTAATTTTCAACCATCTCTGTGAGGTGAGAGTATCATTTTCCTTTTATTTATGAAGGAAGAGGAATTCATGAGGTCAAGTAACTTACCCAAGGTCACACAACTGGTAAGTGGTAGAGCCAAGCTTTGAATCAGATTGTGTAATACTATTATATCATGTTCCTTCCTGAGGAAGGAATAAGAACCAAAAAGGGGCGGTGAGGGACAAAGTACATCAGTCAGGCTCATTTGGAGGCAATTGTCGGGCACAACAGCCATCTCAAAACTAGGCACCTTGCCTAATGTCAAGCGTAGGGTTTTCTGTTGCATAATTTCACAGAAATTCCATGAGTGGGGTTCGGAGATGACCCCATCTTCCAGGAATTGACCAATTTTTTTTCATTCTTTCATCTTCCCCTCTCTTCCAGAGGACACTGGCAAGGATGCAGTGAATTGCACCTACAAGAATGAGGATGACTGTGTCATCAGATTCCAGTACTATGAAGACTCCAGTGGAAAGTCCATCCTGTATGTGGTAGAAGAGCCAGGTGAGTGAACCCCGAGGGCCCCTGGCCCTGCCCCCAGGGAGAGGGAGAACCATGTTAGGCAGTTATTTCATCTATCATGCCTCTTAAATGGAACAGCCAGGTTAAGCCTGACTGTACTAGGACACGTGATAAGGTAGGGCCTGTCATCTGGGTATGGACGATATATAAATACAAATATTAGCAAGAAAGTGATTTCCTAATCGATGAAATAGAAAAATAAGGTGGATAAAGAGAGGAAGAATGTAAATATGGATCCCACGAAGGAACAAAATATATCATAGCATTTTTTTTGAGGTGATAATGTTAAGAAGTAAGGAATTTAAATTCTAGGACTTCTCTGCACAAGGCATCTGCTCTACTATAAGTTAAATGGTTGCCAAGAGCAACCGGCTTGCTGCTTCAGAGGAAGGCCTGATGGTTTGAGGTGTTGACCTTACCAGGTTCATTATGAGACATGGTAAAGGGTTTGAGTTACCAACCCAAGGCTTCTCTAAGCACTGAAAATATAGTGCTTGCTCTCAAGGCCCTCTGGAGGCAGGTGGAACTCATGTCATCATATACAGACCAATCACAGATTTGTCACCATCCAACACAGTAGATTTGCTTGCTTTTCCTTACTACCTTCCTCTTCTTCCTTTCCCTTAAGCAATTGATTAAGATATAAATCACTAGAAAATAGTTTTGAGTACTTATTATATATGAGCCAGTGACTTGGCTAGGTGCTGGGAATATAACAGTAGATAAGGCAGATGCAAACATGGCACTCACAGACCATGGGGGAGACAGGCCTGTAAATCAGGAGTGAGGGATAAAGGCCATGGTATGGTGGGGGGTGGGCAAGAACTTAATGGAGTGCCCTAGCCGGTTTGACTCAATGGGTAGACCGTCAGTCAGCCCATGGACTGAAAGGTCCTGAGTTCAATTCTGGTCAAGGGCACGTACCTCCATTGCAGGCTTGATCCCTGGCCTTGGTCGGAGCAGTGTGTGGGAGGCAGCCAATCAATGTGTCTCTCTCACATCAATGTTTCTCTCTGTTTTTCCTCCTCCCTTCCACTCTCTCTAAGAATCAATAGAAGTATATCCTTGGGTAAGGATTAACAACAACAACAAAAAATAACTTAAGGGAGTGAAGGAACAATCTCCGAAGACAGAGGCTAAGTTGGTCGGTTTACATTCTTTACAGCTGTAGGGAGTTCTTCAAATCATTCTTTTGACCGAGGCGGGCAGACTTCTTCTGTAAAGGGCCAGATGTTAAATGTTTTTGGATTTTTGAGCTATGTGGTCTCTGCTGTGACTACTCTGCCACTGTAGCAGGAAAGCAGCCATAGGCAATATGTAAATGAAGGACTCTGGCTGTATTTACAAAACCAGGTGGCAAGCAGCACTTTGTTTGCGGGCCAGTTTGCTGACACCTGCTTTACAGCAGTGGTTATGAAACTTTTGTTTTCTTGTTAAAAAAAAAAAATCCAGAGTCCTGAGCCCTGACCTATTTCCACAAAATTTTGCCTCTTTGTTCTTCATTAATGCTCTTGTTAATTATGGTGTACCCCAATATTTTGAAGTGATAATGCTTTAGACACATCACTTGACCCAGTGAGCTTTCTCAGGCCTTCTCCAGCCTCATTCCGATAACCAGGTTTAGTGCTCCTGTTTGATTCCCATAGCAGCCCTGCTTCCCTTAAAAGGCCTACATCATACTGTTGAATTGCTTCTTCAGTCACCAGTGTCTCTCAGTAGATTATAAACTCCATAAACACAGGAACTATCTGTCTTATCAATTGTTATATCCCCATACTTGGCTCAGTCATCTACAGAGAAGATAATAAATGGCTTGTGAATGAATCAATAGGACTGGTTATTCCTAGGAGACAGGCAGGCTTATATACATCTTGATATCTGTTAGGACAGTTTTGGCTGCTTATAGAAGGAAGGGGGTGAAAGTGGGCAAAGGGCTGCTACAGCGATGTCACCCAGCTTGTTGCTGTCGCAATGAGTACGGGAGAGCATGGTGCCCCCATCTGTGATATTGTTCATCCCCTTTTTCCAGAGCTCTCACCCTTCATAAGGGAAAAGGAAGAGAAAGAAAGGGCATCACCTCAGTTTTATTTAGTGACTCAAGGGAAAGCTGACATGGGGAAGGGGAGAAAGAAGTCTGGGTGTGTACCTATGGTGAGCAGATGTGGATTATTTGGATGTGTTGTCTCACACTTTCACACCCATCTGTGTTGAACCATTTCACAGGTTTTCCACCCCCACCTTATGGGTACCTTTGCCCCTTCTCATTTCAGAAGGGTGGTATGTTCTTGCTTTTATACCCAGCTATTTTCATGAATTTATTTACCTAGCTCTGGGTATATAATCTTGCAGATTACTTCATCTCTTTGCTACATCCTTGCTGTTGCTTCTGCTGTGTCACTTACCAAATCTTTTGGCTGGGTATTCTGAGACTGGAACCTTCTACCTGGAGTGGTAGAGAACAAAGATGATGATAACCTGGGATGGTTCGAATAACCCCTGGAGGGAGATAACTTTTCTGACTTACTGACAGTAGGCCTCTTCCTCCACAGTAGGAGATAGGACCCAGACCCAGATTTCCTGTCTTACTGCCTTGAAATTCCAAATTCTGCCTCTCTCTCCTCTTACCCAACCTAAACCATTTTCAGGGGCTCTGGCTTTGAGTAGAATGTAGCATTCTACTGAAGTATAGAAGGAGATTATTTTAGTTCTCTTCCCTAACTCATGCCCTTGCAGAGGCTCTCTTTGAAAGACAGGAGCCACTGCAGGGTAGTAGAGCGAGTGCCAAAGGGTTTGGCATTGACTAAGTGGTGTTAGTCCTTAGCTAGGCCCTCATTGCTCCTGGGTAGGATTGCCTGATAAAATACAGTATGTCCATGCAATATTTGGTACATACTTATGCTAAAAAGTTATGAATTCAAATTTAATTGGACTTCCTGTACTTTTGTCAAATCTGCTAACCTTACCCAGTCTTTCCTGACCCCACCATGGGTCCTCGTCACTGTGGCTGGAAGGACTCTCCAGAGACCCCCTGTGGGAAGCCTGCCATCCACCCCTTTCAAGACAGATGGTTAACAGATATCCCCAACCCCACAAAGACCTCCTGGCATTCTACTTGTCCTGCCCATACTGACATGCAGAATTGAAGAGATTTCATTTTGGGACTGGGGGGCTTGGCCCTCCCTCAATCTTCCAGAGAATTCGTAATTGTTTTTTCCCAGAAGAACTGAGCCTTTCACCCCTGGGAACTCAGACACTGGAACCTCACAGCTTCTCTCCAGGCGCTCCTTTAATTATAGACAGGTTGTAATTTGGTGGCTTGGGAAAATGCCAGCATGGGTTTGTGGTGGTGGTTGTTTTTGGACAGTGTGTGGTGAACATAGGGTGCATGTTTAGAGAGGAAGGTGGGAGACAGTGTGGAAAGTGGGTGTGACCTCCTCCCCAGACCCATCAATAGGCATATATACAAACACTTAATTACATAACACCTGAGAAGTTGCTGGAGTGAGGTCACCCATCAGACACTTGTGGTTATGGGAAGCAGAGCTCTGCTGAGCATACTTATCCTGGCCCTCAGAGGGGTGACACACCTCTGTCTGTGCTGGTTGTTGACTGGGGTTGAAGAGGAAGTCAGCTCTCAATAGGGTTTGGATTTTAGATGACTACATATTTTGGGAAGGAACCCAAAATATTGTCTTGGTTGGCAGGCCGCCTGGTCTCTGAATATGCTGAAAAAGGTCATCAGGGTCCCAGCCCTCGGGGATGTAAATATTTGGACTAGGGTAGCAAACTCAAATACTTACAGGAGCTAAGTAAATAAATTAGTGATCACAGCCAGGTATAACAAGAACACCACCGATAATGGTAGCTGATAATTATTGCACACTAATGCTATGCCAAGCATTGTTCTGAGTTCTTTTAATTCCTTAAATTTTCCTCATAGCAAGTTTTCAAAGTCAGTGCTCTACTTTCTCCATTTTAAAGATGGTAAAACAGGAAACAGACACCCAGAAAGGTTAATTTATCAAAGGTCACATAGCAAAGTAAGTGGTTAACCAGGATTCAAACCCATGCAGTCTGGTTCCAGAGCCCACACACAGTAGCACAGGTTCAATGGCAAGCCACACTTTGCTACTGTTTAGCGGAGAAAAGAGCAAGTGGTGAGGACTGTGGCGAACATGTCCCATCTAAAAGTGGCAGTTGTGCCTGGCCAATGTGGCTCAGTTGTTGAGTGTCAATCCATGAACCAGGAGGTCATGGCTCAATTCCCAGTCAGGGCATATGACCGGGTTGCAGGCTCTATCCCCGGTAGGGGGCATGCAGGAGGCAGCTGATTGATTATTCTCTCTCTTCATTGATATTTCTCTTCCTCTCTCCCTCTCCCTGCCTTTCTATCAAATCAATAACAACATATTTAAATCAAACAAATAAATAAAAGGGGCAGCTGCTCCTCAGCCCTCACCAGTTGCTGCCCTGTAAAAATATAGCTTCAGTGTTTCTAGATCATTGGATTTTTTAAAAGAAGAATCTGAAATTTTAGGGGGAGACTCCTGATTATCCATGTTGCCATTAAAATAAAATGTTTAATAAATACTGTGTGAGCCCACATCAAATAGACTAGACTCTGCCTATGGGTGACAGGCTCACTGCCTGATTTAAACCACTCAGCACAGATGATTGCTGTCCTAAAGGTTGCCCCCCTCTCCTTTTAAATAGTAATTAAGCCTGGCAAGCGTGGCTCAGTGGTTGAGCATTGACCTATAAATCCAGGAGGTCCCGGTTGTATTCCTGGTCAGGGCACATGCCCAGGCTGTGGCTTGATCCCCAGTGTGAGGCATGCAGGAGGCAGCCAATCAATGATTCTCTCTCATTGTTGATGTTTCTATCTCTCCCTCTCCCTTCCTCTCTGAAATCAATTTAAAAAGATCAATAAGATCTTTTAAAAAAGATATTATTTGTAGCCAGTTCAAGTGATTTCTGCTCCAATCACAACCACCCTGCTCTGTGCTATCTCCGGACAGAGTGTCCCAAGGGCCCTGATATCCTGGTGGTCCTGCTCTCAGTGATGGGGGCCATTCTGCTCATTGGTCTTGCTACGCTGCTCATCTGGAAGCTCCTCATCACCATCCATGATCGGAAGGAGTTTGCGAAATTTGAGGAAGAACGAGCCAGAGCAAAATGGGACACGGTAAGAGACTGGGCTGGATTTTCTTAAGCTGTTGGCTTGGAGCCTGAAGTGGTCGCAGCAGATGCTTATGGTGGCCAGGTTCAGCCAGTAGTTTTCCATTTAGCCTCTGATCTGGAAACTGGGCGATGGTCTAACTGTTCCGCTGTCCTTACGCTTCCTGGAAACCACCTGATTCTCTCTCTACCACCACAGGCCAGCCACATCAGTGAGTACTGGCTGAGCACAGATAGGGCCCGACTCTGCTGTGAACACGATGAAGAGATGAAAAGGAAACAATCTCCAATGGAGGGAGACAGACAAACTTGAGAATCCTACATGGAGAACATAGAGTATATATATATATATATATATATATATATATATATATATAATACATAACACATTATATGCTAATGAGGTTTAAAGCATTAAACACAAACAGGAAAAAAATATTAAAATAGCTAACATTTACTGAGGAGTTACCAGGTACCAAGAACTGGTACATGAATTGACTTATTTCACCCTATAACAACCCTATGTGACAGGCAACCTTTTTATACTCGTTTGTAGATAAGGAAATTGAGTACAGAGAAGTGGGGGGGAATTAGGTTATCCCTTTTTGGGTCAATCGCTTAGGAATAGTAGCAGGATGTCATCCCATCTTACCAGTATTCTTTCCTGTTTTCTCAAATGATGATGATAGCTTCTAAATCAGACTCCACTTTTGTGCTCCCTGAAGTTTATCTTAATTGAATCCAAACAAGCATTTTTTGAGAACCTTCCATATACTTAATTTAATTCAATTCTCCTTTGGCTCATCTTCATTTCAGCTTTTTTCTGGACCTTCCAAATGGCCATTTGACTCCCTGACTGTCCAAGTTTAGGCTATAAGTTTGTTCCCATTGGATGAGGACCTCAGGCCTTTGTACCCCAGGGTCCCAAGAAACTGAGATGTTTCTGTTCAGAAAATGTAGAAATCCTGAGCCTCTGAGGCACGTGAGAATGTGTTGTGCTTCTTGAAGCTCCCACAAGGGCCACCAGACCTTATGGCACTTGTCACTTTTTACTAGAAAGTAATTTGGGAAATCTAGTGAGGGTCTTTCTTTTTCCTGATAACATGACAGTTTGTGGGTAGTACTTGAAGGGATAAGATGAGAACATAGTCAGAATTATTTGTGTAAAAGCTTTCCTCTATGTTCCAAACACCATTTTCTACATCGCTCTTCCCTGCCTACTTCCCCAGCATGGTCACAATAAAGGGAAAAGGGCAAGAGAGAGAGTTGGAGAGAGGGAGGAACTGATGGTTCAAAGCCATCCTGCAATGTTTGGGATCACCAAAAAGGGATGGAATGAATTTAACCCCTTAGAAATAGTGGCAGGATGGCATTCCATCTTCTCTCTCTCTCTCTCTCTCTCTCTCTCTCTCTCTCTCTCTCTCTCTCTCTTAAAATCCATTCCCATCTTAAGAGTGAATGTGTGAGTACAATGAGCATTAACCTGTTCACCGATGGTGTATCCCAGAGAAGGGTCTCTTGGGCAAATTTCTCAGATGAAAGTATAAGCCTTGAGGGCAGGGTAGAACTGAAGATTCACTGTAAGACCCTTTTCTATTCTCTCCACAGGCCAACAACCCACTGTATAAAGAGGCCACATCCACCTTCACCAACATCACCTACCGGGGCACTTAATGACAAGCAGTCGTCCTCAGATCACTAGCAGAGTGTCCCAGGATTGTGGGCATCTCTGTCGTCATGTTTACAGGGGACAGTATCTGTGGGGCGGGATTGGGGACTTGGAGTGAGGTGGGGCGGGAGAATGTGAATGCGTGGAAGCGTGGGTCTCTGTGCATGAGTGCGTGTGAGTGGGTTGCGTATGGGGGAATGTGTAATTTAAAACTTGTGGCGTGTCCCAGATCAGCAGAGCTCCTCAGCCTTTGTCCTCAGAACGCCTCCTTCAGGGATTCCTCCTGCTTAACCTGAGGGTGACCTGCGTAGCTGAGCAAATGTTCTTCATTACCTCAGAGAGAAGCCAGCTTTCCTTCTCGGGCCATTCTCCCTGAAGAACAGAGCAGGGCTGAGGCCTCTCATTCCAGAGAACGGGACTTTGATTCTGCCCTGAGTTTATGGGTCTTGGGCCTGACTCTCAGCAGCTATGGCAGGAACTGCTGGGCTTTGTAGCCTTGTGTCACCTGTTCCCGTCTCCTTTCCCCTCCCTCAGGCTGAAGGAGAATTCAGGGGAGAGCCGAATCATCAGAGCTGCCTGTGCCTTTGGCTATCGCCTCAACCCAGTATGGTTCTCTCAGTAGGGGAGTCCTTGCTACCGAATTCTTTGATCTATCGGGAGAAAGGATGACAGGGCCATCCAGGGGTCATGCATGGCCTGGGGAATGTGCCAGGGTCCCGCAGCTCAAAATGACCCTTCAGATTTGTCCCATTGGCAGCTCCATCCTAGAGGTTCATTTAGAAGTGTTTCACCCTTAGACCAGCACTGCCTCTTACCTCCTACTTCCACATGCTCACTGCTGTAGATGTTTGCTGCATACTGGGACTTTCATGGCCAAAAGCTTTTCCTCCCAGAAATGGGTGCTATAGTTAGAGCCAGAGGTCTGGCCCACCCTCAGGCCTTCTGCCCCTTGTCCAAGGCACTTCCACACATCCTACCCAGTGCTTTTATGTGCTAAATCCATCCACGGGGCTGATTGCCTTTATCTACCTCTGGGGTGTCTTGAGAAGGAGTCATTCCCACGGGTCTCTGAGTCTGTGCTGGGCATAAGTGCCAGGGTGAAATGATGGGCCAGTTGTATCAGCATGTGTGGCCTATTCTCCCTCGGGCTGGGCAACCTCATTTTAACTCAGTCGTTAATCTGAGAGGTCACAAGTGCAATTTTCTTTTCTTTTTCTCATTGGGGCACCTGGAACCACAATGAAGCTTAAACTAAAGGACCATGTATATAAACAAATTGTATTATATTTGTAATTTTATTTGATGACAAGGAAGGAGAGTATAAAAAAGCCACAGAGACTTGGGCTGGATATAGACAGCCCCACGTGGCATCACTCAGAGCAAGTCATTGCCCAGTTGTGGGATCTGAAAAGGCTTTCTTATCCTGGAAGCCTGTGGGGATGGATGCATGGACATGCTGGTCCTTTCCTGAGGAGGAGGGAAATGGCCAATAGCAATAGCAGTTGCTCCAGTGGTGTTTACATTAACAACTACCCTCTCAGTCTCCAAGAAAAAGGGGAGGCTCTATAAACAGTGATCTGATGATCAGAAAATCTAAGATCTGGCCTCAGTGTTGCAGTTAAGGAATCTTTAAACGTAATTAAGACACGTCACTTTGTTCTCCCTGAGGCTCAGTTTTCTAGTTCGAAAAATGATGGGTTTGGACCAGTCAGTCTAGAAGGTCTCTTTTAGTGTCAGAATTCTAAGATGTTGGGACTTACTTTGAGATCAAACTCACCATGAAGATTCTGTGGGATATTGATATTGTTTTATTTTTTTAGTTGGGAGAGAGACCTGGCTTTGGCAGGAGCAGATGTCATTCCACATCACAGATGTTATTCAATGAAAAAGCCTCATTCTATCCTGTCTTAGAGCCTCTTCTCCAACTTTTGTTAGCAGTTACATCTCCTGACACTGTAGTCTTTAAGCTCCACTTAGTTCCTATTTCTTAGTTCACTTTGCACACATTTGCATCCACATATTAGGGAAGAGGCACCCATAAGAAGTAGCTGAAATGTGTGGTTTGTATCCAGGTGTTAACCTTGAGAATAAGCCTTGGAATTCGGAATGGGGAAAATGACTGAGGCCTGTCTGACCCACGGATTATCCTTTACTGTAGGGGATGGTAACATAGTGGAGGGATAAGTGAGGGATGGATAAGGAATCCAAGAAGTTTAGAACCTAACTGTAACCTTCAGCTAGGGAGACAAGAGTCCATTAGAGTAGTAGTACATTTTCTTTAGATAAGATGGCTTATATAAAGAAACTATATCAAAGGAGAAAGAATAGGTATCCAATAGACTAAAACATCAATGGGAATCTTGTGTGAGCTTCTGGAATGAGGCTCATAGGCCTTGAAGACCAGCACTGTTTGTCTATATGTAGAGGAACCTGTAATGTGTTCGGGAGAGAGCATATAGCAGTGAGTTTTGGCATCATGTGGGGTGAACATCTGAATAGTATTTTGGCATCAGATAACATAGCGCAAAAAGGCCATTCGTGCTCTGCTCTTTTGGAGATATTTCATGTTCAGTCTCAGGGTCTGTGGACAGTAACGGGAAACTTTGACCATTCCTGACAAGTTGTCACATAAGGAGTCAGTTCTTTGTCATTCAGATATTCCTGATTTCAAGATACTTCTCTCCATTAAGTATCACTGGTCAAAATGACTTAAGTGCTTTCCTGACTTCCTAACCACCTCCTCTGTTTGAGTTGTGCAACAATGAATTAAATGTGTTTTCCAAAAAGAAGTGGCCTAAGGCTGCCCAGTGCTTCCTGTGTTGTTATTTCTGTTTCCTTTGGATGAAAAAAATAATTATTTTAGAACAAGGGTGTTTCCAAATGCAATAGAATGATGACTACTACCGAAACTAAATTTAGCTTCAGAACCTGGAGCTTTTCTTTACACTTTAATAACATTTTCAAAATGAATAGGCTATGACTGTTCTAAGAGTTACTTTTTTTTTTTTTCTAATTGGGGATTTTTAGGAACTTGCATAGCCTCAACAGAAGAGTCTGTCAATTTAGTCTAGGTTCTGTTTACAGGAAGCATAACTTGGTAAAATAAGTCTTAATGGTAAATTATTTACAGGACCATTTAACTGCCCTTTTATTTAAGGCAGTGGGTCTCAAAATGTGGTCCCAGGACCATCAGCATCAGTATTACCCAGGAACTTGTTAGGAATGAAAATTCACAGGCCTCACCCCAGAACCACTGACTCAGAAAATCTGGGAGTGGACCCAGCATTTTGTGTCTTAATAAGCCCTCTTGGTGATTCTGTCAAACGCTCAAGTTTGAGAATCACCGATTTAAGGATTCACATACCTATTGTTCTGGCCTAGAAAGAAATTTCCAGTAAGTCAGTTCAATTACTTAAAAGATTAAGAACATACCTTGGCTGGCAGATTAAGAAAACCAAATACTTACTCACAAAATGAAAATCCATTTTCCAAGGTAAGTGATCAGAGGCTCTTGGGTTCACTCACAGCCACAAATTCCCATGAAAAACTAAAAAAAATAATAGATCAGAATCACAGGGAGGGGAGGGCAGCTAACAAAATACTTGGCAGGCATCTAAGAAAACTTTTTATGGGTACCAAGCTGAAGCAAGAAAATACTCTCACATGTATTCACGGGAGATGGGATTGAAATCTTAATCGTTAACGTTGTCATCCAATAGGATGCCAGAATAAGACTTTAGAATATGTACGTTCACTTTTTGCAATTTAAAATGTATTGAGCGCCAACAGAGTGGGATTGAAGTATTTTACAGAACACTCATAACATAATTGTTGCCTTTGAGTCTTACATTCCTTACTAATGTAAATTTTTAAACACAATAGAGTGCATGGCATAAAAAGATTATGTGAACGTAGACTGAGTCCTTTTATGATGAAATTTTGTAAGACCCACTGTTTTATTTACATTGTGGTAACTAATGACTAAATGCCTGGATGAAGATGGAGGACCTTATGTGGAAACTAAATGAAAAGCTACATGTGAAATCATATTTGTAATCCCTTAACTCTTGGCCTCTGTAGTCTGACTCTAGTGTAAGAGTCATCTAATAACCACTGGGACCAATTACAAGAAGGTTGTCTCAGAATTTTAGTGCACTCATTTTTCATACTGATGTGAGGAAGACATAGCAAATAAGCCATTTAGGCCCTGAACAGTGTTGCTAAGTGGTTCGAAGATTGGCCTACACACCAAAGGGTTGGGGGTTTGATTCTGGCCAAAGGCATGTACCTGGGTTTCAGATTTGATCCTTGGCCCTGGTTGGGGCGCATGCAGGAGGAAACCAATCAATGTGTCTCTCTCACATCAATGTTTCTCTCTCTCTCTCTCTCTCTGTCTCTCCATTCTTCCCATCCAATCTCTCTAAAAATCAATGGGAAAAATATCGTTGGGTGAGGATTAACAAACAAAGCCATTTAGTACTTGTTGTCCTGGTTGCTGGCTCATTTCCCAGTAGGGGGCATATAGGAGGCAGCCAATCAATGATTCTCTCTCATCATTGATGTTTCTCTCTCTCCCTCCCCTTTCCTCTCTAAAAAAATAAATAAATAAATAAATAACAATAATAATAAATGCGTGTGATCAAGGTTAACCATATTGGTAAATAAAAAAATTTAAATCCACTTAATGAGAACGGTTTCTATGTGTAAGGAAAATTATAGGTCAGGAAACATGATTGTGTTCCATGAAGCTGCTGTCGTAATGATGTCTCTCCAACCTCTTGCATAGAGGAAACATTTTCATCACTTGTGTATTTTCTGACAATACACCAAAGAATGCACACAGAATGTAAGTATCTAGAAAGCAACATTTAGGATATTTAAGAGCCTTTAAAAGGCAAAACCTCCATTGATGTCCCTGAAAAGAACTTTGTAAAGGAAAAGTTTCACTATTCATTGTGTTTTACCTAATATATTAGATGGGTTTTCCCATGACTCATACACAATTGGCTTATTCTTTGAAGAGGCCAGGGTAATGGGTGTGTAAATATCATTGGTGGTTAATGGAAATACTTTGTTAAAAAAGGAAAAATGTTGATGGATGTATGCTGGACTTTGCTTTTTCTGACCCTTATAATCACCCATTGTGCCCCCATATATGTTTTCCCCTTCTCACATAATATTAAAACTCCTAATTTTTAGTTGGGCACGTGGCTGCTCAGAATAAATACTATGTTTTCACCCTGGCCTGTTTGGTTCAGTGGTTGACCTATGAACCAAGAGGTCATGGTTCAATTCCTGGTCAGGGCACATGCCCGAGGTTGTGGGCTCAGTCCCCAGTTGGGGATGTGCAGGAGGCAGCCGATCAATGATTCTCTCTCATCATTGATGTTTCTCTTTCTCTCTCCCTTCCTCTCAAAATCACTAAACATATATTTCTTTAAAAGTACTAAAAAATGCCTACATAGGAGTGCTTAAAGTACAAAGTAGCATCCCTGAAGGAATTAACTATTGTAACATTTATTGAGCGCGTATGCAATTTTTAATTATCACAATCCTGGAAGAATGAGAAAATTGAGACTGAGAAAGCATAAGTAACTTGCCTCACTGCATTCATTAAATAAATAGTTAAGAATTGAACTTGGATAGATCTGTCTATAAAGCCCACGCTATTCACCACAATGTAAATAATGGAGAGCTCAGATTGGATCAATTCACGTGAACAAATTACTTGTATGTTTTTAAAGAAAAGATACTTTAAATTGTGGGCTTTGGGAAGGAAATATTTTCAAAACACTCTTTGCTTGACAGAGCATTTACAACTCTAGCAAATCTTGCAAATGATTAACTTCACCGAATTGGCTTTACACAACCTTTTAACAACATCATAACTAGGAAAAGCCAGAAAAAAAACACACAAAAAAAGCTTTGTCTTTTCTTTTACTAGTATCATTTCATTTGCAGGATGCAGGAAAAAAGAAGTTGATTAAAACAAAAACAGACAAACAGAAAACCCCTTAGTGTGTCTCCCAAAAGTAAGGATTAGTCTTCTGAAGCCTGGAACAAATGTCAGCCAAGCAATGGGACAAACGGCTTCAAGCTGCTGCTCACTTTTGAGCAGAAGAACCAAGAGGATGGAATGGTTTAGAAAAAGAGGAAGGTGGGAAGATGGACAAGAGCCCTAACCTGTTTGGTTCAGTGGATAGAGCAGGGGCCTGCAGACTGAAGGGTCCCAGGTTCAATTCCGGTCAAGGGCACATGGCCGGGTTGCGCCTTGATTCCCCAGTAGGGGGCGTGCAGGAGGCAGCCAATCAATGATTCTCATCATTGATGTTTCTATCTCTCTCTCCCTCTCCCTTCCTCTCTGAAATCATGTTCATTCTCTGGCCCCATTTCAATATTACTTCTTGTCCATTTAAATAATATTGAAATGGAGCCAGACAAGGGCGAAACAGAGGGCCAGAGAATGAACAGCGCTGTGTGAAGAATAGGAGCATGAAGGATGGAGGGCGAAATGGAGGCGCAGGCGCGGGAAGAAAAGCACGCAGAGGGAAGCCCGCCACTATAGTAGTTGAGGTCACAGGCCCTTAAAAGGTGGCGCAGACCAGCGCGACCCCGACGCACCGGGCAGTCCAGTCTGCCCAGAGCTGAGCCCTCGCTCCCGCCCTGGAGCCGCTGGCGGAGGTGCTAAATGGGCGGGGCCTCGAGCTGGGTCAGGTGACCTGGGGGCGGGGCATCACAGAGCGGAAGCGCGTGAAGGCAGCGGAGCGAGCGAGGTACTGTGGGACTGGAGGTGAGGACCAGCAGGCAGACGCCTGGGAACTGGGTTCCGGGCGCTGGTGGCAGGGAGTGAGGGTGGTGGCAGGGAGGGAGGGAACCCGGGGAACCCAAGGGGCCGAAAGTGGGGCTCTCAGGGGACAGAGGTGGGGAGGCCAGACTCGCTGCGGCGAAGGGAAGGAAGAGCTTCCGAGGCCGAGGGAGAATGTAGAACGTTTACGAAGGAGAGCGAGGGCTCCATTAAGGGCCCGAGACAGACTCAGTCCAGGGGCCTAGCGAGGGGCCAGTGGCGGTAGTTCTAGAAGGAGGGGTCACCGTGCTGGGGACGCGTCCCGCTCCCTGGGCGACACCGAGAGGGAGGAGAGCGCCCTGGGCAGGAGTTTGTCCACGAGGCCAGGCCGGAAGCTTCCGGGGCGGGGCCTGTGGGATCCTCCAGGGCACAGGTTCTTGGTGCAGAGGGTGTGCTCTCAGTCTTTGTTAAGCAGAGACCACAGTCACCCATAACCTTTGCATACCCACCAATGGGCACAGATTAAGAAGCCTGTTCATCCAAGTAGTAAATGTGGTGAAAGTGGTAAGACCACTTTGAAAAACATTAGGTAGTATGTCAAGGTTTTCATAGCCCATGGCTTAGAAGGTCCACTTTTACCTATAAATCCCGGAAAATCTCTTGCCCTAATGTGCAAGGAGACATGTTCAAGAATGCTCAAGGCAGCACTGATCTCAGTAGCAAAAATGGACAAACAAAACAGCCCTCGCCCGTTTGGCCCGAGGACTGAAGGGTGGTGGGTTAGCTTCTGGTCAAGGGCGGATACCTCGGTTGCAGGCTCCATCCTGGCCCTGGTCCAGGTCGGGGCATACAGGAGGCCACCAATCGATGTGTCCCTCTCACATCGATGTTTCTCTCTCTGTCTCTTCCTCTCCCTTCCACTCTCCCAAAAAATCAATGGAAACATATCCTCAGGTGAGGATTAACAACAACAAAAAAATCCTCCAGCCCTGACCGGTTTGGCTCAGTGGATAGAGCATCGGCCTGCAGGCTCAGGGGTCTCAGGTTCGATTCCGGTCAAGGGCATGTACCTTGGTTGCGGCACATCCCTAGTGGGGGATGTGCAGGAGGCAGCTGATCGATGTTTCTCTCTCATCATCAATGTTTCTAACTCTCTATTCCTCTCCCTTCCTCTCTGTGAAGAATCAATAAAATATATTTAAAAAAAAATCCTCCAAACAATAAATTGTGGTACATATAATTGGCATATAATGGAATACTAGCGGTGAAAATGAATGATTGCAATATACTATATGGATGAGTCTTAGAAATATAATATTGAATGAAAAAGCAAGCCTCAGATTGCTATAGCATAACAATTTTATATAGCTTGAAAACAAAATTAAGGAATAATTTGTTTATCCTGTTTAATATTATGTGTAAAAAGCAAGAGGTTGGTAAATTTTTGTTGTTGTTAATCCTTACCAGAGGGTATTTTTTCATTGATTTTTAGAGAGAGTGGAATAAAAAAGGAAAGACCAAGAGAGAAACATCAATGTGAGAGAAACACATTGATTGGTTGCTTCCTGCACTAGCCCTCACCAGGGCCCAGGCCAGGGTGGAGCTTGCAACCAAGGTATGTGCCCTTGACCAGAATTGAACCCAGGACCCTTTGGTCCACAGGTGGAGGCTCTATCTGCTGAGCCAAACTGGCTAGGGTGAGAGGTTGGTAAATTTTTAAAAATCTGTGCTCTTTATGGAGCAAGCAGGTGAATAAAATGGGAAAGGCACAGAAGCAGATGAAATCTATAATAATAAAAGCGTAATATGCTAATTAGACTGGCCGTCTTTCCAGATGACCTTCTGGACGAAGCCAGGGCTGCCAGGAAAGCCCAGTTCCTGGGTGCCTGCCGGCGGCCGGAGGAAGCTGGTGCCGGCAGCCAGGGGAAGGAAGGCCTACTCTTGCACGAATTTCATGCATTGGGCTTCTAATGGTATTATAACAATGTTTTTAAATGGTGGGTTCACAGTGGTTTGGTGGTTATGTTTTGTAACTAATATAGTTTGCAAGTATTCTTTCTATGTTCCAAATAGACATTATAAAAAATAAGGAAATTTCTTGCTTTCGAAAATCCCTTATCTTCACTAACTCTAACATTCCCATAGAATTTTTCAAGGTCTCTCTTTTTATTTTTTTACAGTCTCCAAAAAATTGGCCTATGTAAACTCCTCAAAGTTTCTTGGGACAAATTTGGCCAAAATATTTAATGGTTTTAATAGTGATATGGTGCCCTAACCAGTTTGGCTCAGTGGATAGAGCATCAGCCTGCAGACTCAAGGGTCCCAGATTCTATTCTGGTCAAGGGCATGTACCTTGGTTGCGGCCACATACCCAGTAGGGAGTGTGCAGGAGGCAGATGATCGATGTTTCTCTCTCGTCGATGTTTCTAACTCTCTATCCCTCTCCCTTCCTCTCTGTAAAAAAAATCAATAAAATATATTTTTTAAAAATAG